ATTATCCCTTACCTGGTGTGTTGCATGCAGTAGCATCTGAGTAGGCTTCCTCATGTTGACCCTTGCCCTCTACAATTATTATAGTGGTCAGCATTATTCCTTTACAGTAGATCAGATGATACCCTCTTCCTTCTAAAAAATTTATAATAGCTCATCATTAGTAAGAATAAAGGCAGGTCCTGAAAAATGACCTAGAAGACCTTCAATTCTCTGGCCCCCTGCTCATTCACCAGCCTATTCTCTTTCTACTCCCCTCTGTGCGGTTGATACCAGCCTTCTTTCTGTCCTCTAACAGATCAGCTATGTGCTGTGCTCATTTTAGGACTTTGCCTTATCTTTTTTTTAATTTTAATTGAACTATAATTCACGTAACATAAACCTAACCACATTAAAGTTTGCAACTCATAGCATTTAGTACATTCACAATATACACGACTATGTCTACCTAGTTCCAAAACATCTTTATCCCCCTCACGTGAGACATGTATACTTTAAGCAATGGGGAGGAGAAACTCCCCATTTCCCCTGCCTTCTTGTTCTAGTCTCTTCCCTTCTTCATCCCCATACTGGAAACCACTAATTTGCTTCTGTCCCTATGTACTTACCTATTCTGGATATTTCATATAAATGGGATCACATAATATATGACCTTTTGTGTCTGGCTTCTTTCGCTTAGCATAATGTTTTCCAGGTTCATCTACACTGTAGCATGTGCTGATACCTCATTCCTTTTTGTGGCACAACAGTATTATATTGTGGATATACCATATTTTATTTATCCTTTCATGCATTCATGAACCTTTAGGTTATTTTCACCTTTTGGCTATTTTGAAAATGCTGCTATGAATGTTCATGTACAAGTATTTGTTTGAATACATGTTTTCATTTCACTTGGGTATATACCTAGGAGTGGAATTGGTATGTTATATGGTAATTCTGTCTTTAACTTTTTGAGGAACCACTAAACTGTTTTCCATAGCAGCTGAATAATTTTACATTCCCACTAGCACACACCATCTCCTTCCAGTTTTTACTCAGACTTCACCTCCTCAAAGAGACCTATTCTGACTACCCTGTTTAACTCTGTCACCTGCCCCCATCTCTACCCTTTCCTCATTAGCATTCTTCTCCTTCTTATATTATTTGCATGTTCCCCTAATGTGGTCTCTTTTTGAGGCATATGCATAACATTTCATTATACTTACTATCTCTTACACATAGAAACTCTTATTCTTCCCTAAATCATAGGATTCACCCATCTCAACAGTTCACCAGATGCCTGTCATTGAAAGGGTATGTGTAATTAGTTATAGAAAGGGTAAACTTCACATAGTCCTTGAAACTTGATGCACCGTGGTTGAAAACTCTCCTTTATCATCTGCTGAATAACAAAGTTGCAACTTCATTATTTGAATATTTTTCTCCCAAAGACCATCATTTAGTCCTTTATTTATTTTTTTAATTTTATTGTTGTTCAATACAGTTGTCTGCATTTTTCCTCCACCACTCACCCCCTCACCCCAGTCATCCCCACCTCCCTCCCCCATTCCACCCCCATTAGGTTTTGTTCATGTGTCCTTTACAGTTGTCCCTGAAAACACTTTCCCCCTGTCCCAGCATTATCCTCTACCACCTCCCCTCTGGAACAATATTATATTGTGGATATACCATATTTTATTTATCCATTCATTCATTCATGAACCTTCAGGTTATTTTCACCTTTTGGCTATTTCGAAAATGCGGCTATGAAATTGTTCTTAATTTCTATGTCTTTGGTTATATTTTGATTGCTTGTTTGTTTTGTTGATTATATTCTACTTATAGGTGAGATCATATGGCATTTCTTTTTCACCGCCTGGTTTATTTCACTTAGCATAATGCTCTCCAGTTCCATCCATGCTGTAGCAAAGGGTAGGAGCTCCTTCTTTCTTTCTGCTGCGTAGTATTCCATCATGTAAATGTACCATCATCTTCTGATCCACTCATTTACTGATAGGCACTTAGGTTGCTTCCAGAACTTGACTATTGTAAATTGTGCTGCTATGAACATTGGGGTACATAGGTTCTTATGGATTGGTGTTTCAGAGTTCTTAGAATATAATCCCAGCCAGGTCAAAAGGCAGTTCTATTTTTAGTTTTCTGAGGAAATTCCATACTGTTTTCCATAGTGGTTGCACCAGTCTGCATTCCTACCAACAATGCACTAGTGTTCCCTTTTCTCTACAACCTCTCCAACACTTGTTGTTTGTTGATTTGTTTATGATGGCCATTCTGACTGGTGTAAAGTGGTATCTCATTGTGGTCTTAATTTGCATCTCTCTGATGGCTAGTGATGCTGAGTTTCTTTTCATATGTCTCTGGGCCTTCATATAACTTGTGACATCATAAAAGTCCTACAGGAAAACATAGGCTGGGAAATCTCAGATATTCCACACAGCAATATTTTCACTGAGATGTCCCCTAGAGCAAGGATAATAAAGGAAAGAATAAACAAATGGGGGTCTCATCAAAATGAAATTTTTAAGATTTTATTTATTTATTTTTAGAAAGAGGAGAAGGCAGAGAGAAAGAGAGGGTGGGAAACATTGATGTGTGAGAGAAACATCGATCGGTGGCCTCTTGTATACCCCCAACCACGACCTGGCCTGCAACAGAAGTATGTGCCCTGACTGCAAATGGAACCCGCAACCTCTCAGTTACAGGATGCCATCCAATCCACTGAACCATACCAGTCATGGCTGAAATTATTCTGTTGATTAGGTTTACTTCAGGGGCTTCTCACAAGTAATGCAAATTATACATAACTTTCATACTTAAAAAGTGTGACTTGTATTTTCCAGCCTAGCAACATTAACCTTTATGGATAACTATATATTGAATTGGAATAGCTTCCTCTTTTGCTTGTAACACAACTGGAATGTGGGTGTTGACTGTTTTTAAGCTGTTTCACTAAGTCTCTTCAATAAGAGAAAGAGCAAGAAAATGCATCTTTAAGGAGATTTGTTCACAGCTAACTCCATAGAACACTGACTAGGTATAATCTCATAAAACATAAGGAGTGCAGGCTGATGTCTAAGCCCAAGTGTTCCATTGCGTCCCTGCACCACCTTCAGATGTGGTTGGAGCAGTAGCAGGAGGATTAGTTTTAACCTTCGCTTTATAACTTCCTTTTAAATAGGTTTCCTGGCATGAATGTCTTTGTTCTTAGAAGCTCAACATTTGATTTGCTCATTTTCCTTTATATTTTTTCCATAACACTTTCTTTTTGCTTTAACTCAGGTTTAAAAACCAATTGAGATCATTGTCTTTCCAAAAACATTCAGTGCTCTTATTGCCAATTTGCTGAGGCTGTAGATCACCTCAGTCATGCAGTGGTAATGATGTCCATGAATTATAATACTTGGCAAGGAAATTTTTAATATTTTGAGGTTCTCACATGAGAGATAAAAGTGTCTATTGTGGTGTTTGAGTGTTCTTTCTGGTAAATCCAGAACTCAAAGTACAATTTAGAGGTAGTTAATATAGTTGATGAAAAGGGAACAGAATTGATAGGAGAAAATTAAGAAAATTCCTTCCATTTTGGAAACAAAGGGCAAAAACCAAAGACTGATTAATGCCTCCCAGCTTGAAATGTGGCCTTGGCTGGCCTGTTCCTTCAAGTATGTCTAGTACCATGTTGACAAGCCTCCCCCTGCTTTCCTCTACAGAGAGAATACTTCATCAGAAAAGGAAGAAACCTGTCTTTATCATTTTTTAAAGTTCATTTCATGGTCCCAATACCTTTTTCATACTGTTTGAGTATCTAACTCTTTAAAACACAGCAGTGAATTGAGAGGTGATAGGTAGCAGGCAGAATTAGTCTCTTCATTCTCCATAGAGTCTTCAAAATTTTGTCTTGTAATCTATTTGTGTCTGTTTCTGATTCTCACACTAGAAAGCTGTGTGAGGACACAGATTAGCCGATATTATTTATATTTTCTCATAAAACATTTGTGTATAGTGGACCCACACTAAGACTAGAATTAAACACCAGAGGCCATGAGACCCAACTCTATTCAGAGAGGCTGTTCTCTTCCCTGTCACAAAGCAATTGAATCTTATAATACAATAAAATCTCTTAAGCAATCTGGTTTTCATGATTCTGGGGTAATTATGTAGAAATTTGGGGGGATTTTTGTTTCTTGTTTTTTGTCTGTAGGACACAGACTGAAGTTTTTGTTGTGTCAGTCTGATGAGATGAGTTACAGGAAACATGAAATGTGATGTACTGTGACTGTCTGTTTGGAGTGATCTTTCTTTAACAGAAGCAGCCCTTGGGAAGATTTGTTTCAAGATAGCTGTATACTAATAGGTAGAAACAGAAATGACTATGAAAACCAGATGTTGTATCTGGGCCTCGCTTCAGAAACAAGGTTTCCGTGCTGGCCTATTTCATTTTTCGCTTGTGTACCCACACTGATTAAAGGGCATTTATATGGTGGTGTGCACAATTGCTGAGTGCAGTGTTCATTTGCATGCTCTCACTATCATGGTTTCTACACAACATGATATTTCTGTTGGCAATTTAGATTTATTCAGAAATTGTCAGAATGAAAATCCAGGATGTGAGCAATATTTATTTTTATTTAAAATTACTAGGGAGATTTGTTAGACAATACCTCGTTTTCTGACATTGGCAAGAGGCTTTACAGAGTTTCTCCCTAATTTTCAGGGACACATTTGTATTATATATACATTTCAACTTGTTATTATTGTAAGACTCTATTTGCTTTAATTTAGAAAATTTCAGGCTTATTTTATTTTGTCTTTACAGGGCTCTAAGCTCCACTCCTTTGAAAATATTCAAAGACCTTATTTGTGGTTCTGTTCCCAGACTGATTTGGTTTGTTTTAGAACATAAACCATTTAAATAAGGGGAAAGAAAGAATTGATGCTAAGGTTTAATTTTACAGTTTAATACCGTGCAGTCTGACTCATGGTGCGGTGCATCTTTCCCGCAGGTTCACATCCAGCTTTCTGAGTGGCACCGGGCCATTTTCCTCCCACAGGCGTGGCTGGCATATATGACTCGAGCTTACCATGCCATTTTACAGGTAATGAAACTGTAAGATGGTTTGTTTCAGGGGTGTCTCCTTCTCTCAAATTTTACTGCATATATGTATTTAATAGAAAATCACTTAGGAAAATAACACTATCCAAAATGCAGTGGTTATAATTGCTGATAAAGAATGTAAGGCATAAATGTATATAATGCACTTAAAATTTTTTTTGCCTACAATAATTACTTCATTGTTTTTAATTTAAATTTTAAATGTTGATTTCTTCCCAATATGTGTCCCGTCTAGAACTCCCTCGTGAGTGCTACTGTCCTACATCATGCTGCTTTTTGAACATCTCCCCGATGTCCCAAATGTCCCCCTTGGCTGTCCCATGGCACCTCACCTTGAGTGGTTCCCAAACGGAGCTCATTGTCTGCCCTAACCTCCTCAAGGTGGGCTTGCTTACACCTCCAGCCTTATCTTATTATCCTTCCTCTAGATGTTGTGTCTCAGCCTTGCTAAATTTCGTTGTTTTCCAAACTCAGCAAGTCTCTCCTAATCTCCTGACATTGACACATGGTTTCTTCTGGTACAGGTACTGCCATTCCCTCTTTGCCCACCTAATTTCTACGTGTTCTTTAGATCATTTTATCTGAGAAGGCACCAGTGTGTGTCCGGCTCCCCCACCCCACTGGACTGTATGCTGCTCACGTGTGCTTCCTTAGAATACGCACTTCTCTCTTTGAAGGCTTTATCACCATGGTTATTTGTCTGGGGCCTCCATCTTGGTGTCTCTGCTCCTTAGAACTTGGAGCTTTGTCATCTCTAGAACTTGACATGGTGTCTAAAACACAATAGGTGCTCACTAAATAAAGGAATTACACTCAATTTGACTTCATTTAATCCAGTATTATAAATTAGTTTGTAAATTTTTAAAATAGAAATAATTCTTAATCATATGTTTGAGTTCTTGTTCATATATTTGAGAATATATGAACAGTTAACAATATAAGAAAACAACAATTATTTTTCCTACGTTAAAATTCCTTTTTAAGGATGATAGAACAAAATTTGAAGGTACTGAGTAATTTACGGCCCAGAATCATATTTTCATGGAGTCTCAGGTGTTATGGTCAAAGGTAACAGCTGTACTAAAAGATGGTTGGGTGTGGAGGGATGAAGGAAATGACTAAGCATCTGAGCTTCAGTGTTCTCATATTATATTAAAACCTTATTGCAACATATTTTATTGAGTCTAGATTTCATGAAGTACTGATGCATCTTCAGAGATTCCTATCATTAGAACTGCAGAGGTGGACTAGGAATCTCTGTGCTTACCTAACTGCCTGTTAATTTTAACTCAGTCTGTCACCACACTCCGAGCACCGGTGTTTTAGATGGCTCCCCAAACCACACTGGAGTCCACATTTTAAAGATGTTCTCTTGGAACAATGGTTTCCTTTTTCTTAGCTTACCCACTTTTTTATCCTCAGCTGCATCTTGGCACTCAGTTTTAAGTAGATGCATGAGTGAATGAGTGCATTACTCATATATACTCTTGACCAATTATAGTTTTTATTCAAGGTGAGTGAAATTATAAGTTAGACTCTGCACTTTTCCTCACATTTATTTTTCTCTTTGTAATTTTTCAGTGTTTTCCTTCCCCAGACATTAATGGAGTGCTTTTTACTGGCCAGGTCCTGCGTGGGGTGTGTGGGATACAAAGGGGCGTAAAGCACTTCCTCTCAGTGAGCTCCCAGTCCCATGCAGGACCTAGCATGTCCACTAGCAATTCCAGCAACAATCCCTGAGAATTCTATTTAGCTCTCAGCATGAGGAAGGCTAAATTGAACAGGATTATGGTGTAACTCATGCAGATGACTTGCAATTGATTTTAAAAAAAATCTTACATAGTTGTCTTTATAGTTAGAGCTACCATTTTTTGAATAACTAGTGTGTGTCCAATACTACCATATATAATTTCAATAATTTCAATGACAGAGACCCTTTGAAGTGGGTGTTATAAACCCCCACATATAATGGGATTAGAAATGGGGAAACAGGGTTAGCTAGGAAAACAAAGAAAATGGTACAAAACCCAACAGTCAGTAAATGAAAGAACTGGAAATTAACTGGAATCTTTTTGGACTCCAGAAATTCAGCCTTTCCCACTGTAGTATGCATTTTCCTTAACACATAATGTCGCACATTAGTAGTACATTGCTTTAATATTTTAAAGGACAGATCTATTTTTTAAAAGCCAGCTGAGTATTTTTAGTTAAGCAGGTCAATTGTTCTACTTCTCTTCTGTTGTGATAGTGTACATCTTTTTTTATTTATCATTTAAAATGTCTTTACTTTGAATTTTTAATAAATCCAGTTCCATTGAGAAATGGTGATAAAAGTGAAAAAATGTCTACTGTAATAAAATTTTCAGTGTTATTTGAAAATACAGCATTGCTTTCTAGGCTGTCACTATGGCTTGATGGTACACTGATGCATTTTAACTGTTCAACACATTTTGTGAATGACTCCACACACTTAAATAGGGTCTGTGGGATCTTAGAAGAAAGAGCAACTGCCAGACTCCTTGTCCATGTCAAGAATTTCTGTCCTAGAGGATACTTCTTCTGCATAGGATTTACAGTTACTTCCCATCTGGTGCTAGATATATTTAGTACCACTAAACTAGAGGATCATTCTTAGGAGCCACATTAATTAAGTCTAAGAGACACATTAAAGGGTACATTCTACATTATTTCCTGCAGGTTGATTTTGATGTGAATAAGTTTGAGTTCTGAATACTACAGGCAGCTTTTGTTTAGATGCTTCAGCCATATCTTTCCACAATTTTTCCACAATACGTGGGATTTGGAATTATAAGCATATCCAAGTGGTTAACATGGGGAAGAATTTGGATTTCTTCTCATTAAGATGAAAAATGCAGATACAAGTTGATTAACAGTTCAGAGTCCATTTTGATGAAGAGCCCTTTATAGCCGCCTTTACCTTGCTGTCCTTGTGGGATGCAGAGAAGGTTAAGGTCTCCAGCTTTTGTGCAAAGAGCTCATGGGGATTTTGAATATGACCTCAAACAGGAGAGAGGAGTTAAAACAGGTTGACTGCAGACACTTGTTTCCTGAGTCAGTCAGCCAGCTGCAAAATAATCTGAAGTCAAAACCAGGGTCAGAACTGTGACCCCTCGTAAGTTACTCTCTGGCCATTTGTAAGGGTTGCTTGTTTCTAAAGTATAGGTGTGGAGCAGGATGGACTTGCTCACTATAATCAGGAAGCTCTTGGTTACGTAGGCTGGAAAATTTTTTAAGTAAGAGGGATCGATAGATTAAGAATTGGAAACTCCAAGCAATCCAAAACTCAATTCAGGTGACCATTTCAGCCTTTCCTGACCCCATGAGTGCTTTCCACCCGTAACCATAGCTGTTAGCCAGAGGCAGAGGTAACTGAGTTGAATGCCACTGGGTGTCTGTTACCGGTAGGCTGAGAATTGGAAGGCAAAGTACGTCTGGATAAATAGCCTAACATGGACTTGTGGAAGGGGTTAGAGACATTCAAGAGGGAATTGAGAGGAACAGAGACCCTGAGAAAGAAAAAATATCTACTTGGTCACAACAGAATCGTTGTACTGTTCATGGCTACAAGAGAGATTGGAAAAATAGGCTTCTCAAGAGGCTGCATGCGTACTAGTTTTTGTGTTTTATTTCTAAACAGATTTTAACCTTTTAATTTCTTATTCCTTGTTTGATAAAGCATTATGGAAAGTAAGTGTTTTAGGAAGAAAGAGGCATCATTGAAGAAGCACTACAAATAAAGATAGGCAATAAAAATTATTTTCTCTTTTGCCTACCCTCCTAGGGGGCCAGTATCAACATTAAATATTAATATCAATATCTTGCCAGTTTAGTCACCTTTAATACCTTGCTCTAAGAGGTAAGGGGGAAAAACAATAAAAAATAATCATTAAAAAAAACAAGAAAGGACAAGGTTTCTATCTTGGAACACCAGGAGTTGGGCATGGGTATGACTGAAGTAAATGGAAACTATGAAGAATGAGAATAGAACACTGGTGAAATCTCTGAGCGTCGGGACTGGTGAGCCTCAGGACGTTGTGTGCTAGAAGTGGTGCTGTGTACAAGGGCTCCTTAGACTGATGAAACAGGCCTTGCTTTCAGTGAGCTCACAGGATAGTAACTGAGAGTGTTTGAGAGAAATAAAAGGATATGCAACTGTCTAATCAGGGTATTACATTTTGGGGAACCTTTTGTTCTACAAGACTATACAGATGAAAATAAGAATTATTTTATGAAGGATTTTAATATATTCATGAAAGAATATTTCATAAGAAGATTATAAGGGGAAGTGGGATTTTTTTGTGGTTATTGACAATGACCCTGGTAATAGTAGGTATTGTTTGTATCAGGCACTGTATTAAATAGACCATTTTCCACATTATTTAATATGATGCTCTAATATTGTGAGATAGTTGTTAGCTACATTTTATAAATAAGGAAATGAAACTTAGAGAAGTGAAGTAACTTGCTGAAATATATACTTTAACTAAGGGGAAATGGTATTAAATTCTGTTTCCAGAGCTCACATTCTTAACTCACCAAGCTATATTGCTTCCCTCTCTAGGGTATATATAGGGACATACCCTTTTCTATAGAACATACGTTAGAACACTATAATCAATAAGAAAAGACAGCGTGTAAAAAAAATGGACAGAATAAAGAACCTTAATAGTCAATAAACCCTTGAAAGGATGCACAATCTCCTTAGTAAACAATGAAATGAAAATGAAAACCATAACAAACACCATTTCACACCCACAAGAATAGTAAAAATTAAAAAGCCCCCTGGCTGGTATAGCTCAATGGATTGAGCGTGGGCCTGCTAAAGCAAAGGGTTGCAGGTTCTATTCCCAGTCAGGGCACATGCCTGGGTTACAGGCCAAGTCCCCAGTAAGGGGAACGTGAGAGGCAACCACACATTGATGTTTCTCTCCCTCTCTTTCTCCTTCCCTTCTCCTCTCTCTAAAAATAAAATAAATAAAATCTTTTAAAAAAATAAAAATAAAAAGCCTGACAATTCCCAGTGTTGGTGAAGATGGGAAGTAACTAGAACTCTTACTGCTACTGAGAATGTAAGCTGCACCACCACTTCTGAAAATGGTTTGATATTACTCAGTAATATAATACACAATCTAAGTTCTTATTCAATTTAGGGTTCACCAATAAACCAGCATTTTAATTACATTTAAATAATGTAGCTGCTGATTGAGAAGAAGGGAAAGCATCTGATCAAAGTAACTCTGAGTGTAAAAAAAGGATAATAAGTGTTTGAAGGTCCTGGCTTTTAAATGGATGACATTAGCTATATTTTTATTACATGGTAGAGGTTGAGCATTATAATATCTATTTTTATATGTTCACTCAAGAAATAGAAATGTAATGTGTAGCTATTTGAGAATTTTGTTATACATTACCTGAATCTTACATGTTATATACCATCCTTACTATTCTGTTATGATACTGGTACCCAGACCCCAATCTTGGGATAGTGTCAGTTAAAGTTGACACAGGCTGAGCATTGCTGTGCAGCAGACTTTTTGGAATGGGATCTATGTAATTAAAACCTGCTTTTAATAGGCATCCCAAAATGAAGCACTCTGCACTAAATTTGTCAAATAAAACTTCTCCAGGATATGCTTATTTGGTGAACATGGAAATACCCAAGCAGTAATGTAATTATCTCGCTCACACATCCTCATTTATAATTCAGTAACCTATTGGGAACACTTATGGTGAACTGGGAAATGTTAGATCTGTTATCTTTGTGTTTTCCAAAGAAATTTTAAGATAATTTTGGCTATAGAGTTTGATTTAGACATGCTGATTTATGCTGTGTTTGTTACAGGGAAGAATAGCAGAGCTGGAGGTGCAATTAAAACATGGAAAAGAAGGAGCTGAGGAGGTGCAATACAAAAAAAGCACAGCCTGGCTCTGGTAAGGGGGCAAGGAAAAGGGCGGTGCCGTGATGTTGTGGGAAATGAACTTTGAGAAGGTGGCTACTTCAAAGGCTTTAATGTTGGGGCTTTAACTTCTGTAAGAGTCTGAGGTGGGGGGAGGGAGGTGGGAAACTGAAGATCTGATAGCTGTGGTTTTCATCTCCTTAGATATAAGGAGGGCTTTATTCGTAAATTTTATTTTTTTCTAAAGCAGTGTAGAAATTGTTTTCTTTTCCCTTTTTTCCTTATAACTGATCATTTTGTATGCTTTTGAGTGATTTTTTTTGCTTTTCCCCACTTAATTTATTGCCTTCCTAACTCACATTTAGTTAAGAAATACCTTCCACTCTTTTGCTCCTTCCTTCCCAAGATGGCTTCATTATTAGGAGCAACTTTACCACATTAAGGCTTTAATTTCTTTGGCAGACATCTCCTTGTGAATTCCCACTATATTTTCAAGAAATGTGTAAATGCTGGCACATTAAAGGCAATTTGAATTGTTACATGGGTTGGGATTAATACATTGTCAGATTAATGTTGCAGCAGCCTAAATCTAAGAAAAGTGCCCGGAATCTAAATAGTTTTGCCTACAGCCACAGGTTTCTTTAATCTAAAAACCTGTTCAAAGGTTACTTGGTTTTAGATTTTTTTATTACTGACAGTTGACATATGTAGAAAAGCAGAAGCTGTGTGTGTGTGTGCATGCAAGTGTGTGTACATATGTGTGTATGTATGTGACTAAATCTAACTTTCATTTTCTAGATTTAGTTTTAAAAATAACACGGCAGTTAAAAACATATGACATTGGATTTATGATTAGAGATTAGGAATTGGATTTTGCTTCCTATTTGCTATTATCTTTTACATGTAGTTTTAATTTCATCTTCTGAAAATGATCATTTGTTAGAGGTGGTATGTTGGCTATACTTTTCAAAATATGTAGAGAGATACGTTAAACGAAGAATGTGAGAAACAGATGGATGTCAAGGATAACTGCAATATTTTAACTCTGAATAACTAAAAGTATGGATCTCCCATTTACTAAGATGGGAAAGACAATGGAAAAGCAGGTCTGTGTATAGTAGGAATCAGATTTGTGATTTGCTAAGCCAGAGATACCTAATTAGACCTACAATTGGCAATATCAAGTAGGTTGTTGACCATATGAGTGTAGAGTTCAGGGGTGAAGTGAGGGCTGGAAATGCAATTTGGGAATCATTAGCATATCTACTGCATTTAAAATTGTGTTACTGGATGAGATCACCTAAGAGTAACTAAAGACAGAGAGAAACAGTCAGAGGACTGAAACCCAGAGCAATTCAGCATTTAGAAATGGAGAAGATAGCCCTGACTGGTGTGGCTCAGTGGGTTGAGCATCGGTCTACAAACCAAAAGGTCACTGGTTCAGTTCCTGGTCAGGGCAATTGCCTGGGTTGTGGGTCAGGTCTGCAGGTCGGGGAGTGCAAGAAGCAACTAATCGGTTTCTCTCAAATATCAATGTCTCTCTCCCTCTCTTTCTACCTCCCTCCCCTCTCTCTAAAAATAAATAAATCTTTTTTAAAAAAGAAATGGAGAAGATGAAGAAGGACCCAATAAAGCACAGAGAAAATTAGTAATAGGTGATAAGAGAAAGAAAATCAAGAGAGCTTGGACTCTTAAAAGCCAAGGGAAGAAAGTGTTTCAAGCCCTGGCTGGCGTAGCTCAGTGGATTGAGCGCGGGCTGGGAACCAAAGTGTCCCAGGTTCGATTCCCAGCTAGGGTACATTACTGGGTTGCAGGCCATAACCCCCAGCAACCGCACAATGATGTCTCTCTCTCTCTCTCTCTCTCTCTCTCTCTCTCTCTCTCTCTCTCCCCCTCTCTCCCTCTCTCCCCCCCACTCCCTTCCCTCCCTAAAAATAAATAAATAAAAATCTTTAAAAAAAAAAGATTTCTAAACCCTCTTTAAAAAAAAAAAGTGTTTCAAGGAAGAATCAACCAATTGTGTCAAATGCTGCTGTGAGGTACCCAAAGGTGCAGACTGAGAGTTGGGAATCTGATATGGCCTCTTGAAAGTTGGTGGTGGCCATGGCAGCAGCTCCTCTGGTGGAGTTTGAGGAATAAAAGGCAGGTTATAGTAGGCTATAGAGAGAGTGGAAGGAGATGAAGTAGAGTCAAGTATAGACTATTTTAAATGAGTTCTAATGTATGAGAAGCAGTGAAATGGGGCAATAGTTGGAGGACTCTTTCTTATTTTAAAATGGTAGTTATTTCAGTATGTTCACATGCTAAAGGAAGTAATACAAGTAGAAAAGGAAATATTGATGATGTGGCAAAGGGAAGAGATGGGTAAAAAGAGAGAACTAGTTCACAAATGGAGGGTTTAGCCCTATGTGGAAGTCAGTATAGGCCTGTCATCATTTGTAAATATTCCATATTGATCAATAAAAGAGTACATTAATTGTACTCCTTTCCATCTAGAAAAACCGATATTGTACAGTTTAGAGAATTTATTGTCCAGTGGTTTTTTTAATATATTTTACTGATTATGCTACTACACTTGTCCCATTTCCTCCCTTTCGTTCCCCTCCACCTTGCACACCCTCTCCCACCCACATTCCCCCCCTTTAGTTCATGTCCATGTGTCATAAGTTCTTTAGTTTCTACATTTCCCATACTACTCTTGCCCTCCCCCTGTCTATTTTCTACCTACCATCTATGCTACTTATTCTCCGTACTTTTCTCCCCCATCTCCTCTACCCACTCCCCTGTTGCTAACCCTCCAGGTGACCTCCATTTCTGTGGTTCTGTCCCTGTTCTAGTTGTTTACTTAGTTTGTTTTGTTTTTGTTTTAGGTGTGATTGTTAATAATTGTGAGTTTGCTGTCATTTTACTATATATGTTTTTTATCTTCTTTTTCTTAGATAAGTCCTTTTAACATTTCATATAATAAGGACTTGGTAATGATGAACTCCTTTAACTTGACCTTATCTGGGAAGCACTTTATCTGCCCTTCCATTCTAAATGAAAGCTTTGCTGGATAGAGCAATCTTGGATGTAGGTCCTTGCCTTTCATGACTTGGAATACTTCTTTCCAACCCCTTCTTGCCTGCAAGGTCTCTTTTGAGAAATTAGCTGACAGTCTAATGGGAACTCCTTTGTAGGTAACTGTCTCCTTATCTCTTGATGATTCTAGGATTCTCTCCATTTTAATCTTAGCTAATGTAATTATGATGTGTCTTGGTGTGTTCCTCCTTGGGTCCAAGTTCTTTGGGACTCTCTGAGCTTCCTGGACTTCCTGGAAGTCTATTTCCTTTGCCAGAATGGGGAAGTTCTCCTTTATTATTTGTTCAAATACCTTTTCCACTGATTGCTCTTCCTCTTCCCCTTCTGGTACCCCTATAATTCGGATGTTGGGATGTTTAAAGATGTCCTGGAGGTTCCTAAGCCTCTCCTCATTTGTATGAATTCTTGTTTCTTCCTTCTTTTCTGTTTGGTTCTTTCTACCTTCTGGTCCACTCCATTGATTTGAGTCCCAGTTTCCTTCCCATCACTATTGGTTCCCTGTGCATTTTCCTTCATTTCACTTAGCATAGCCTTCATTTTTTCATCTAATTTGTGACCAAATTCAACTAATTCTGTGAGCATCCTGATCACCAGTGCTTTGAACTGTGCATCTGATAGGTTGGCTATCTCTTCGTCGCTTAGTTGTATTTGCTGTGGAGCTTTGATCTGTTCTTCTGTTTGGGCCATTTTTTTTTTTTTTTTTGTCATGTCATGCCTGTTAAGTATGAGGGGCGGAGCCTTAGGTATTTACCAGGGCGGGGCAACCCAGTCACTGGGTTGTGAAGCAGTATGTGGAGGTGGGGTCTGAGAGAGAACAATGGCACTTTCTCCACTCTCTATTGGATCCCAGTCCCCTCGCAGCTTCCCCCAAGCAAACTGGGGCCTTCTGGCATTGATTTACATGTGGGTGGGCTTGTGTACATTCTAGGACCCTATGGGTCTCTCCAAGGAACTCTCCTGTGAGGCTGAGAGTCTCTCCCTGTGCCTCAGCCCCCACTGGTGTTTTCAATTAGTGTTTCAATGCCTTATTTCCCAGCACTGGGACCCTGGGCTGGGAGGTCTGTCTTGCTCCCCTGTTTCACCTGATTTATCTGCACTGGAATGTGGGACTGCCTAGTCAGCCAGCTGCCTTGCACACAGTGCCTTGCTTCACAATTGCCACCTCACTGGGTCTGCCCATTGCCACCCCGCACCCGGGGTCTGCCAGCTACCACCTGCACACACAGGGTCCTCCTGCTGCCATCTTGTGTGCCTGGGGTGCCTTGTGCACTCGGTGCCACTGCTTTTTGTGCCACAACCCCTCTCCACCTGGCTGGCTGTCCAACCCCGCCCCCTTCACTGGCCTGGATGAATGTGTATATTTTAACTGCTTGGTTGTCTGACTTCTATACAGTCCAGTTTTCTCTCAGTTCTGGTTGTTATTTTGTTTCTGAATTGTTGTTGTCCTTATTTCGGTTGTGCAAGGAGGCACAGTGTGTCTACCTATGCCTCCATCTTGGCTGGAAGTCCTGTCCAATGGTTTTATAAAATACAAGTTAAAAGTCTATAGGAACAGTTTGCTACTGAAAAACTTAAGAAATGGCTCTTAGGAATGACATTTCTCAGAGAGTGGGGAATAGCCAGGATTTTGTTAGATTTTGAATGAAAATATTTATGAATGCAAATATAACTTTTATTTGCAAAATGTCATATTTATAAAAACCTTGAATCTATAAAACTCAAAGTAGATAGTGAAAATGTCTATATCCTCTTCAAAATGTAAAGGTGGCAGTCTGTGATTGTTTTTCACTTTATCTCAAGGCTTATATACTGAAAAAATTTGTTATTCTGTGAATATTTGAATTGAGCATACGTTCCTTCAAATTCACAAGTGTAGTTATTTTGTTTTAGCTTCAGAGTGATTTTATAACCAATGTTTTTAGCTTTATTTCATATACATACATAGTGACTATTCCATTATCTACAATTCAGAAATAGTAAATTACTGTTTTGGTGAGTTCTTGTGCAAGAAAGAAAGTGAATGTCTTAGTTCAGGCTGTTATAACAAAAATACCATAGATTTGGCTTAAACAACAAGACATTTATTTCTCACAGTTCTGGAGGCTGGGAGATCATTGCTGCCTTCTGCCTGTGTCTTCAGGTGGCGGAGGCAGACATTGAGAGAAGGGAGGGAGCGGAGAGAAAGAGAGAGGAGAGAGGACAAAGAGAGAGTTCTCTGGTGTCTCTTTTTATAAGGACTCCACCCTCATGACTTCCCAAGGGTCCCATGTACCATACCCTACATTGGGAGTTAAGATTTCACCATGTGAATATGGGGGGATGCAAACATTCAGACCACCATAGACAATAGTATAAAGGACACACATACTCTCCAGTCAGTTCATGAGGTGACACCATTACAACACTGCCTACACACCCTTCCTTAGTTATATTCACCTCCTTCTCCCTCCACTAAGTGACCAAAGGAATAGGAAGATGGAAGTCTTTGAAGTAAAGCCCTTATTACAATTATTTCTCATTACACTAAAATTCTACAAACATGGTATTTAGATCTGGAATAATTTCTAGAGGTTCTTATTAATTGGTGAATAAGCCAAAAGATTGCATTCTTGCTCATAAATTCTTATACCTATTTTCTTTCCATCATTATTGCAGGGTTCGAGACATGTTGACTGATGAGATCACCAAGTCAGCTGCAAAGTAAGATCTGTTTACTCTCTTGCCAAAAATTTTCTGTAAACCTTTTTTTCCATGCCATGTACATATGATTTTCCCTTTTAGGTATTTCATAACTTTAAGAATTTTGAAGGACTTTTCAATTATTTTTTTAAAAAAACAGTTATTATCCTTTTTCATATTAAGTTAATTCTTAGTACATGTCTTTTTGTGAAAATACAAAAGAATCAGTACAAATACATACTTTCACATCTAGAGTCTACTGAGGTTGTACAGATACAAAGTGCCCCATGCTGACTTAGATTTTTAAAATTCTAATTTAGTTCTTGTGGGAGAGTGGTGGTGGGTGGGAGGAAACTTTGCTAATGTGAATTAATAAGTAGATTATTAGATCTCAACAGTCAGCCAGCAAATAATCAAAGTAGTACTTCCTTTTATTCCTTTTGTGTCATCAGGTCCAGGGTATCTAAAAATCAAATTTTTAAATACTAGAAATTAATGAGAAGATCCAATAAAAAAGGCAGTTTCAGTCATATCTTATGGTTGTTTTAACAAAAAAATAAAGAGTATTACTATCTCGAGGCTTTTTATCTTAAGCCAACTAAGAAAATTATACTCTAATGAATGTGCTTAAACAATCCCATCAGTTTCATTTGTTAACAGGCTGACTAATTGTTTCTGGCAGTAAGTTACAGCCAGCTACATACACTTCTCCCTTTCACCATCACCTTTAGCTGCTGGCATTCTTTGACATCCTTTCTTCTTACTCACCAAACAATACAGATATGCCTTTGACCTAAAAGATTTCATGTGCATTGAAACTCCATTATCCAGAAATATTTCATTGCAGTTTAGTTTATCCCTCTGTAGCTAAGTAGATTTTGCCTTAAAAAAATGATTTACCTTAGAGTTAGCTTTCTACCAGTAATTTCTTAAACAGGCACTTAACATGATCACTCCTCAGCCTCATGTCTCCTGAATGAAGGCAAATAGAAGTGGTAATCCTCCCATGCTCTCAGTGCTGTGGGAGGCACCGGGACATACCGGGATGTATCTGTTGACAAAATGAAAACTAAAGTACCAAGAGGCTAGGGACTCATTTGTTTCTATTTATCTAGCTTGGTGAATTACAGCCACAGTGGGAGAGCACTCAGCTGTGTTTTGGAAGGGAGGAGGTGCTGAGATGGGGGCTGCCTTTCACCTTACCTCTCATAGTTTGTTCTATCTTATTAGTCTACTTATATACTAATATCCCATTTAAAATGGTGCTCTGATATTTGCAGCAAAAAGCTTGAGTACTGAAAAAACTAGCATCTTTCTTTTAAAACAGACATAATTATGCCTGTCGAGTAGCTTTTATATTTTACATTCTGAAATTTTATTTCAATGAGACTTTAATCTTCAGACTTCCAAAGCATTGTTTCATGGCTAATACCTAAGAAGATGTTCCCATTCTCAGTGGTACAGAGTAAGAGTAATTCATATTTTCATGGCATTACTTTTTCATCAAAAATTTCAAAGCATTTTATAGACCTTATCTTATTAAAGCAATCCTGACAATACTGGGCATGACAGTAAGTGAATAGGAGGTAGTTCCAGTCTGGAGGCAAAGGGATTAATGACAGAGCAGGGGAAAATCGCTCTGCTGCCCTCCCTTTACTTTTTCCCTCTGACTTCCTCCAACCATGTGAGGACCCCAATACCACCTCCTGCCTGCTGAGCTTTCTGTTCCTTGGACCATGGATTGTCACAGGCTGGTTTGGGCCAGCCTAGCACTTATTTTGTTCTGAGCTATAAGTTAAATGCAGGAAGTAAAACATCAGTCTATAGGATTAGACTGATTTGCTCATTTGAGAGCATTTGTTTCTCAAGTGTCTGGGATAGGGCTAAGGGAGAATCAGAACGCAGGTAAAACCTGATGATTGATGTAAGTTTATTTTCACTATTATTAATTAGATAGATTTGAACCTGAAGATAAAAATCCCCAAGGGATTGGGTCACTTTACTAATATGTAACATAATACTTTGTCCCTGAGAAAGCATCATCATAGCTCATCCTTTTATGTGCTTTTTAATTAGGTTAATGGCATCAGTTTGTTTCAAAGGACAATTTAATTAAAATGTCAGTGGTGTTGCCTAGATAAATATTGTACTGATGCTGACATGTCATTATGCAAATCAGTAACTCCTGCATGACTGTAGGGGATAGTTATTTGATCAACAAGGTGATGAGTTTTTGCTGAATCAGTTGTAGGTTTTCACCTGGCCAGCTCCTCCTTGAATTTATTTTATTGAATATGTACCGAGTGTCTTCTCTCCCTAAGTCACTGTGCTAGGCATGTAGGGAATACATAAATGATCAAGAGCTGGTCACGGTACTTTTGTGAAACATAGGTACCATGGCCTAAGCATGCACTGAGTGGACTGTGGACTAATTTTTTCTATTCAAAGATTAATGTCCAAATTTGCATTTAATCTGTAATCAAAGTCCTAATTAGCAATAGTTTTAAATATATCTTTCTCCATTTTATAAGAAACAGTACGTGCTCTGGAATGTCAAGACCAGTAAAACTTTTGAAATAAAATTATTTAGAGCACTGTTTTAAAATGAAGGCTAAATTCTCTTTAAGAATTTCAGAGTTAAAAAAGATAACTTTTTATTCTATCTTGTCTACTATCCTTGTTTGAAAAGATGTGATACTGATTTCTAGTGACCATCTAAGTTTTTCTGTGGGGTGATTAAAACTGGGAATTCTCAGATAACTGTGAATTTAAAACTATTTTTTCTAACTTTAGGAATTTATGACCATTTTGTAGCAAGACAGGCTTCAGGACATTCTCAGCTAAAGAAAAGAGATAAGAGAAATAAAAGATTTAATTTTGGTTTTGTTAAATGATTTTTTGGCTAGGCTACCTAAGAATGCCTAGATCATGCCTTGCTTCTTATGTTATTATTAGCTATATGCGTTCCCAATAATCCCAAATTCAGAACTCTAGCAAAACCTCAGTGAAGCCACCTGCTTGGATTATAAGTCTTCCTTAGTACTTTCTCCCCTACTCAATCCCCCAATATAAATGTTGTTGTCTTGTCAACTTAAGGCAGGTCTCATACAGGGTTGAATTCAGGAACAAATTGGTGAACAAAATGACCAAGTGTGCAGAGCAAATTTTCACTGAGCTTAACCAGCCCCAGATGGGAGAGAGAGAAGGAAGGAGGGAGTGGATGAATAGACAGATGAAAGAACTTGATCATGGCACATCCTGAGTCCTGTTCCTACCGAATGGAAGCAAAAATGCAAGGACACATGTGCATACTAATTTTTTAATACTCACTAACTCACATTCAGTCATGACTCTGTCTTCTTTATCCTACATACCTGTTCCATTGCAGCACTGGGGTGAACAGGGAACAGCTCTTGATTCAAGTTCAGGTATCAGGTCCAGGTTTAGGGAAACATTCTCTGTATTTATGGGAACCCACAGTCAATCCTAGGGCTGAGAACTGAACTATCTGACAGTATGTGTGCTCTGCTGCCTGAGTTCTGTTTGGACAGAGTTGGCAAGCCAGGAATATCTCATTGTGTACAATTTTGGAATTGTGGAATAATACATGTGTATTTTCAAATGGTGAGTATATTGAAAGGGCTCAATTTCTTGATACTAAACTCAGAAGTCAAATTTAAGATTTTGCTGACATTAGAAAACTACCATTTAGATGATGTAAAAGGGAACTCTCAAACCAAATAAACTGAAAACAGGTCTTTTTTTTTCTTTACGTCTTATCTAGGGTCTCAAAATTCATTACAAACTGACTTTAAGGTTGCTGGCTTTGACGTGAAAAGAGATGGGGGAGGCTAATAATGAGTGAGGAAAGCTGCCAGTCAGTTTGTCAGGCTGCTAGGAAAGTGTGCTGTCTGAGTGGTTTGCTGGAAGCCTGTTCCACACACCAGTGCTTTCAGAAAGGCAGAGGCGAGTTCCATCCAGTTGGGCCTGTTTACTTAACTGTCCTTGGTCATGTTTCCAGAATAAGTCAATACATTTATATTGGCCAAAGATGACAAAAGAAAATAGCTAAGGAAATGTAATATCAAATGATGAAATAAAAATTTTAGGAAGAACTTAGGTATGATAAGCTTGGATTTTTAAGTTACAAAATAGTAGACTGACCTTCTATCTGTAAGAGGACTTAAAAATCAGCACCAGTATCAAAAGATGGAAAAGAAGCTGCTGGCATCGAGGAACAACAGACCTGTGTTTACCAGATGCAGTGAAGGAGTAGAAGTGCTTTTTGACCTTTTCTGCCCTCCCTATAATAGCTCCTCCTTTTCTTCTAGTTAATGCCCCAAAATCATCTCTTGGACTTTTTGTTTTGTTTTGTTTTAAACAGGGACAGCCCAGTGGTTAAAGGCAATGCGCTATTAGCCTTAAGCAGCCTTGCTGTTGTCGTATCCAAACATGAAGCCAGCCTCTCCTCAGATGCCGAGGGAGTCCTTGAGGTGAGCTGAGGGTGATGTGAACCAGTGGGGTTTCTCTGTGTGATATTTGAAAAGTGAGGAGTCTCTGGAAGCTTCACTCTGAATTCAGGAGGTTTGAGTGTCTGTCTGCAGCACCAAATTAAGCTAGTTGATGGGCCTTTACACTGTGAGCTGTAGTGTCCTTCAGACACTTTGCTTTGCAGCTTTTCTGTTTTGCTTTCTCCATCACACTTAAGTGGTCATTTCAATTCGAAGGTACCAATTTTATGCAACAGGGGTTGTCTTTTTGTGATTACATTAGTGGTAACCAATCTTAGGAGGTTAACTAGGCTTACTAAAAGTGAACAATGCTGTCAAGAAATGATAAATAAGCACTGTTTACTGACTGAAAAAAATTATACTTTGCATTTTAATTGTAGATGTCAATGACAAAGTGCCTATTCATTTTTGCAAGGCATTTATTTCTTAATTAAACATGTGGTGAGCTGGCCAATGTTCATTTCCAATATACTTTTTCAGATAATTCATATCTGTCAAAATAAAAAGGCATGGATTTATTTTTCTTAGAAGCCCCATTATCCAGTAGCTTTCAGTATCTGGAGACAATAGAGTCTAGTGGTTAAAAGCATGGGCTTTGGAGTGGTACAGTTCTTTATTCAAATCCTGAAACTTGCACTTACCCTTATTTTTGGACTATAAGATGCACTGTTTTACCACATTTTTTGCTTGAAAAATTTTTTCCCTATTTTCCTTTTCTAAAACCTAGGTGTGTCTTATGGTGTGGACCTCAGACACACCTAGGTTTTAGAAGAGGAAAATAGGGGGGGAAATTTTGAAGCAAAAAATGTGGTTTAAAAAAAAGTGCATCTTATAGTCCGAAAAAATACGGTACTAGCTCTATGGCCTGCTGTAACTTCTTTTCAGAGCCTGTTTGCCATCTAAAATGGGGATAATGCTACTCACCACATAGGATTATTAAAAGATTAAGTGAATTAATATGGAAAGCACAATGGCTGGTAGGTACTAACCTCTCAATAATAGCTGCCATTATCATAAGCATCACCATATACTTCTTCAATTCTTGGTGCAAAAACTGGACTTTATTCATTGTTATTCAGCCTTTCTCTGTTGCCACAGAGTGTCTTATGGACCATCTGTACTGTTTTTTAACTCATTTTATCTTTGCAACAACCCAGGAGGTAAGTGTAATATTCTTCCCCACGTTAAAGACAAAGGTTCAGAGAGGCTACACAACTTTCCTGAGGTGACAGCAAATGCAAAACCAGGATTTGAACGCAGGCAGTCTGCTTCCAGAGCCTGTTATTAACTGCTAAACCAGTCTGTGCTATTGTACTGATTTATTTCATGGTGCAGTTTTTTGGTTGCAAGCAAAGAAAATGGCTCTCATTTAAAAAAGGAACTAGAAGGATAAGGCATTTGGAAGCTCAAGGGACTGAAAGCAGTTTAAAACTTGGATTTTGGGAAGAACAGTAACCAAGTCAAGTTGGGGAGTCCAGGACAGGTACTGAGCCATCTCAGCAGACCCCTCCCCTAGCCATCTCCCATATTGGGATGGATCAGCTCTACTCATTTACTGTCTTTGCATCACTCGCTTAAGATGTAGAGTTCCATGGGTTCCTACACTTTGGGTAGGGTAGGACGAGTAGCTTGATTAAGCATTTAACCAAGCTTCAAATCACAGGGGAGGAAATTCCCCAAAGGGTGCTATTACTAGTAAACAAGAAAATAGATACCGTGTGGCAAAAGCTACCAATATTAATTACATGTGGGGAAGGGAAAGAGGTCAAGGGAAAATGTAACAGCAATTACTATATAAAAACTTACTTTTAAACCCAGCATCTTATTTTAATGATGAGAAAGATGAAATTTTTAAGAGAGGAAATGTTTTGTATCCCTTAATAAGAGCCATGCAGCTTGCCCTGGCTGGCGTAGCTCAGTGGCTTGAGTGTGAGCTGCGGACCAGGCATTGCAGGTTCGATTTCCAGTCAGGGCACATGCCTAGGTTGCAGGCCATGGTCCCCAGCAACCTCACATTGGTGTTTCTCTCTCTCTCTCTCTCTCTCTCTCTCTCTCTCTCTCTCTCTCTCTCTCTCCCTTCCCTTCCCTCTCTAAAAATAAATAAATAAAATCTTCAAAAAAATGGCACATTTACCCCCCATATTTAAAAAAAAAAGAGCCATGCAGCTCTACTGGTTACTTTGCCCCAGTAATAAATGGGGTTCAAGTTCAGAGTTAGAATTCCACGCTCTCTTGGTCTTCTTTATTCCCCCACCCTTTCGTTCTGCACTGTAGCATATAGTACACAAAACATTGAGAGACCACACAGTCCAGAGACAGGGCGTTGCCTTTATTCTTGATGACCTTGATGTTAGCTGTTACTCAGTACAAACTCAAGATCTCATTACTTAAAGTTGAAGTTTTCAAACTTCATTTAAATCTGCATATGATCAACAGCTAAAGATCTTAAGGAGGTCTTGTTAGATTTGAGAATTAATTCCAAGGAGCTACTTAACACTGCACTGACCTTTAGTTTGCATGACCTGAAAATACCATTTGAGTTAATGAATGCTTTTGACATCCATGGTGTCAAAAGCATTCACATGCTTTTGTGACTGAATGACTTTTAAAAGTTCTTTTTTTCAATGAGTTGAGTTTTGTCATTGTTTTTTTGTTTGTTTTGTTTTTTACATTCTCCAAACTGAAAATCAATTATGTGTTCATAACTGATTAGCTGGGAAAATGTTGTGGTGTTTCTTGAAAGATAAATATATGGTGATAGCACAAATGCTAGGGGTAATGATCAAAATTTTGTAAGCTGCTTTATTGACCCTTTTGTGAAATAACATAAAATTGAAAAATTTTGAGTTGCTTTCTCATACAGCTCTCCCTTTAAACTCCATATTTTTCTCACTGAACTCAGGAGAGCCCTGAGGAGCTCTCGAATACGTTCTGTTGTGCAGCCCCCATCCTCTCACTTCTGTTAAGTTTTGTATGGAAGGTAAACACCCCTGTTGGGACACAGGGGGTGTTCTGTTTGTCAAATACCTACTCACCTTCTTAGTCCTGGCAGGTCAAGTTAACTTTTTTTTTTTAAGATATTTATGTATGTATGTATGAATGTATATATGCATGTATTTATTTATTTATTTCAGAGAGGGGAGGGAGGGAGAAAGAGAGGGAGAGAAACATCAATGTGTGATTGCCTCTCACATGCCCCAAAATGGGGACCTGGCTGGCAACCCAGGCATGTGCCCTGACTGGGAATCAAACCGGTGACCCCTTGGTTCACAGGCCAGTACCCAATCCACCAAGTCACAACAGCCATGGCCTTAAAGTTAACTTTTTGATGATAGCACTTCATTCTTTAATTCAGAATTGGGCTATACCCTGAATCTAGAAATAATGTTTAAGTTTTTTAATTTCTCCATCATCATTTCATGTTTTTCTTCATCTGCAGGTTCAACCTAATTTCCTTTCAATGAAAGAGTGGGTTTCCATGGTGTGTGATACTCTCCTGGTCATTGTGGATAGCCACTACCAACCCAGAGGACAGCTTTTCTCCTGGTTTTATTATGTAAGTCTGAGAAATAAAAAATGATTAGCAAACTCAAGTGTTGATTCTGCTCATATCAGTTATTCACATGAAATCCATGATGTCATGTGATGATTCTTAGGTGTACATTAGAATCACTTAGGGATGTTTAAATAAATAAATATATATTATATACATATTTTATATATATATATATATATATAAGTTGAAAAAAGAAATACAGATGTATAGGCTTTATCTCTTAATTGTTCATGGATAGGCCCTGAGTATCAGCATTTTGGAAGCTTTCTAGGTTATTCTAATGTGTAAGTCAGAGCCAAGAGCTACGGTTACAGTAAAATAAACACTGGCTGACAATGGGGATCCTAAGTTTCTAGTCATAGGATTTTTTTCCCCCCATTTCAGGGGATGTGAACATGGGTAGTTCCCTTAATCTCTGAGGATCTTCGTTTCCTTGTTTATAAATGAGGCAGGTGAGCATTATTGTCTATAGTGATTATGACCCTAGTTTCATCCTTTATTAGTTTTGTTACTGTTGACCTGACCCTGAACCCATCATCTTATTTTCCTTATTTGTAAAATGAAGGTAAAAATGAACACTTTGCCAACTTTATAAAAGATTGTGGGCATCAAATTGTATAATATATGGGAAAAAACTTTTGAAAAGTTTCAAATACTTTATAAATACAAATACCATTAATCAAAACAAAACACCTGTTACTTAGTCATTTTCTTTCTTCTTGCTTGTATCGTAAGATTTGAAGCAAATTAAAAACACACTTATTTTGTTTAGGTTTCATTTTCCCTTCACTAGCTGGAGCGAATGCTTTATTTATCTGTATGGGAATTACAGTGGTCATGGGACAGTCAGCTGAGTGGCAGAGGATTATAGTTGATTAGAATAAAAATATAGCACAGGCCCTGAACAGTTGCTAATATCACAAATTTAGCCTGAAACTCCATCGCCTTAGGTCTTCTCTCTGTGCCTCTGCCCTGCTGCCCTTGGGAGGACCTGGTATGTATTCATCTGGGCCTTAGGGTATGGAGCTAGATTTTTAACCGTGCTTGAGGACAGTAAAATGCCTTACTAGATAATGTAGAATTAAATTGGAAGGTAGATTTTTCTCACAGAAATACTTTCTTGGCAATGATTTGTTTTCTGTCAAAGTGTTCGTATTTCTTTAATAATGGATGAAAAATTGGTTTGCTTATGTGGAGGTCTTTGCAGTGACTACCTGGTTTAGATCTTGAGCAAGACAGGATATTGTATAGATTCCTAATAACACTACTTAGTTCCTGCACACCAAAAAAGAATAATCTCTGTATTAACTACGTCATTATTGCCTCTTACTTTTGTGATTTTTGCATTATTGTACTTTTTCAAAGCACTGTTTCAAAAGTCACTTTTTAAATTTTCAGTGTCCTAGCAGCTGGGTCATTTTGAGTAATATTGTCATAATAGTGCTATATTAGCTAAAATAATACCTTAGCACATGCTTGATTTTTATCCTTAAAGTACTAAAGCTTAGAGAGCAAATGAGTATAGAGTTAAAAACACTTTTTAATGTGCTTGGTCTATAAGAGACAACACAGCCTTTATGGTGTGTCTGAAAATTTGAAGCAGGTAATAGTGAGGAGTGATAAACAGACTTTCATCCGCACTTTAGACATGTTTATAAGTGTATATAATGCCTTGTGGAGCTCTCAAACATGAGACTGTGTTAGAAGCTGTTCATATTCAGCTGCCCTGTCATGGTATTAGGGCTGTTATTCATTTCTTTTCCCATAATTGCATATAGGAAGGAGCATATAGGCTCTCCATTTCATTTTCAATAGCTGGTTATTGCTTTGTAACCAGAGGCTTTTAGGATTTCAACTTCCTTTTTAATTAAAAGGAATTAACCCCCTGTAGGAAATAATCCATCTACTGGGAAACGTTCCCACCAAAGATTTTGGGAGATCTGCCAATAGATCCCTGTGATAAATTTACACTTGTCCTTCCACACTAAACTTAAACTGCTCCCCCGCCCCCGACTCCTACCTCATTCTTTCTCTAAATTCCTGGCTTTCTGGACCTTTATAATACAGCTTGGTAGTTTCTCCAAGCTTGGACTGCTTCATTTTGGGTTTTTCATTATATATACAGGTGGGCTTTCAAAATACTGAAATTCTTTCAGGGTTTCTAGTGAGGGAATTCACACCCTTTAAAAGGAGGCACTTATAATTTGTTTTTTTTTTAATTTAAAAGGATATTGTTAGTTAACAGATTGTTTAGTAGCAAATCGTTTCAGTAAGAGTGAAATTGTAAACCTATAGTCAAACACAGAAACAGATTTTTTAAGTTATTTGTTTGCTTAGCAGGGGTGGACCTAAGAGAAGTTTGTATTGTTGCATAGTGTTGTTGTGATAGGTATGTTTCCTTCATGTTTTAAACAAAAGGCCAACCCCCTGTTTTCTTTCTTTGGCGTGTCCTAGAAATCCTATTCTGGTGAAAACACAGCTAGTGCCATCGCCCGTTCTGCGGCCGCCACGGCTTTGTCTCTCCTGGTGCCAGTTTTCATTATCTCTTGCAAAGAGAAGGTTGAGGAAATCCTGAACATGCTGACTGCCAGGTTACCTGGGAAACCAAGTGCTGATGAGTCTCAAGCTGTGCAAATCCACATGGGCCTTGCTTTGGGGATGTTTCTCTCTCGTTTGTGTGAGGAGAAACTCAGGTACAGTTTATTAAAATAGCCTTGCTTTTCCTCTTTGTGGTATAGGTGGAGGATTTTATACACATACATACACATACATAAGCATTTTATCTGAAAATACATGCTTGCTAAACTTTTTGAGATAGACAAGTTGATCATGTATTCTTTATGAGTGAATTTGTCTTTCTAAAATACCATCGCATAGATATTAATGTATTTTAAGGGTTGCTCTTATTAAAGTGATAGATGACTTGAAAATCATTTCATGCTTAGATGAAAGCCCTGAATACATCTGTGTAATAGATATGAGGAGAAGTCTAATCTTATGGTGCAATAAATAAAGAAAAACTGCTTCTGTTCCTGGCTTATAAGGGTGAAAATAATTGCTGTTCCTTTACTGATATCACTGTAAAGTGAAAAGAAAGGATTGGGGTGTCCCTTGTGCCTGAGAGTGGGAGAATCACTTGAACCACCTGAGAACTGTATGTACCCAGTTTTAAATATTGCTCTTAACCTGTGCCCTGGCCACAGTTTTATAATCCTTAAAGAGTCTTAATCTGTGCATATTATACTGTGTGGTTTATTCAGTCAGATTGCTCATTTTTTGGCCTGCTAGCTTTCCTCTTGAGTGGTGCTAATAGACTGTCAAAGACCTGGGTGGAAAATTCCACTCAAGCGGAAGGTTTTCTTGTACATGACTCTAGTTTTGTTGTTCATTTTATTTTTTATTTTATAACAAATCTTAGAATTTTATATATCTAAATTCATTGCAGTGTGGTAGAGCATGAATATTTGAGTATCATGAATATTTAGATGTCACTGAATTGGAATTTAACCCCATTTTCCAGCATTGGAAATGGGGTAGTAGGGAGAAGCATCCTGGGCGACGTTAGCTGTCATTAAGCTTCTCTGCTTAGCAGAAGTGAACTGTCTGTCCAAAGGCAAGAAATGCTGTTGATGTGGATGAACTGGATGACATGATGCTATATTTAGGTTTCAGTGTAAAACCAGTGGTGAAGTTTCATTTGTAATTTACAGTTTTGTGCAAATACCAATATATGAAACCTTTATGAAAATTGCTATCGATTTAGGGAAATAACCTATTTCAGATCATCATTTCAGCTCTTGGAAACATCTGTCAGATGATTAGGAAGATTTGGATTAGTCTTTGTGATCATAAATGAAATGTTTCCAGAATGTTCATTTTGTTCTATTCACCAGTGGTAGTATATATAGGCCTGGGCATGAACAAAACGCTGCCCTTGGCATGTGAATTCACTGCTACATAGTGAGTAAGTGAGTGAGTGAGTGTGTGTGTGTGTGTGTGTGAATACAAAGTATTTTTGAAGACTTAAAAATGATTTTTCTTTTCCTTTGCCACAATGCTACAAATGGTAGTCTCTTCACCATATGTGTTCATGCCCTTTCTTCAGTATCTTTTCAAGTAATGTGTTTTGCAGCTAAAAATGAGCCCTGGCAGTTTAATTCCAGGCCACTCATTTCATCCTGTGGCTCTCTTTTTCATGAGTTTTGGATGAGCTGCTGCTGGTTTTAAGGCTTGACAGGTTTGTGTTTGTGGTTAATTTAATGGTACTACCTGGAGAAACCTATGGTGATTCACCTAAAGCATTTATCTCTGGTTCCTAGACTGCCTTCCACCCTGTGTTCTCTCACTTGACTTTGTACCTACAGGACACCCTGGGGAAGGACTCAAGGAAGCCCTTCCCATGGCGAAGTGCCCTCATAATAACTGCAGATTTTAAGTTTCCCTTAATGATCCTGTGTTTGATAGCATCTTCCTTCTGGCTGCTATAGCCACCAGTATAGCTTCTCATGGTTCTCACTTTCCTAATTTCTTAGAGCAGAGGAATCCAAAATATATGTACCTTTAGTACTAAAAAAGTATTTTGCTAGATAATGACAATGTCATCAGATAATGACATTTTTGGAGAAAGTTTCTATTTTTCTGAAGTTAAGGTAAATGTTTTGAGGGCTGTCTACTCTGACTAGTCAATGACATCGTATAAGTGACCCAAAATAGCCCCTTTAAGGGAACAAGATTAGGACAGTATGTTTTTCTCAAGAATGAAAAAGTCACCTTGTAAAAGAGAATTGCAGCAATCAATCCATTTTTTGCTAAAGCTTATGAAAAAAAGTCACCTGAATTTAAATTCCAGTCTAGAATTTATTCAGGAAAGCATATTATTTCAAGCTTGCTTTTGTTATAACTCCCAAAGGATTCTGGTACTTTAACATTTGTTTAGCATATTTAAATATATTTTACTCCACAGAACAGCTATACTAGGACTTATTTAGTTAAAGCTATTAAAAGTGTGTGTGTGTGTGTACATGTGTATGTGTTTTCATTGTAAAATTTAATCTCTCACCTCAAGCAAAGCCAGTGTAGCCTTGGTTTGAGAAGACCTGGAAAGGGCTCTCTGGCTGCCTGGCATTCTCGGGGCCGTGTTCCACTTCGTGCAGCTGCGGCAGCGGCATGAGAGGCAGGCAGCTTGTGGGGCCCTTGATAATCAAGTACTGGTGAGGAAGCCCACAGCTCTGCCTGAAAAAAACACCTTTTAAGTTTATTTTACTGTACAAGTCACAGTTCTCACCAAGACAATTACAAAATCACATCAATTACTGTAAAGAAAAATGTAGGGCTGGTTCCCCCCCACTTTTAAAAAAATTTAAGTAAAGGAATATTACTTATAACCTCCATAATTGAGGCATGAAATCAAAAGTAACAGTCTTTACACGAAAGAGATTTGGAACAGTTATTGATAATATCAGCCTAAAGGATTTATTAAATATCTGAAGGCAATCACTTCAGCATTCTTAGAAATATTATTTTTGGAATTCTTACTTTGGTTCTTATTTTGTAGTGATTTAAAACTTGAATGGGCTAAATTCATGACAAAATGGGTGGACTAGAGAATATTATGCTAATGAAATAAGTCAGAGAAAGACAAATACCATATGATTTTGCTTATATGTGGAATAAAAAAAGAAAAGGAACAAATAAATAAATTAGAAACAGACTCATAGATACAGAAAACAAATTGGTGATTATAAATACAGAGAACAAATTGATGGTTTTAACACCAGAGGGGAGAAAGTGGGGGGATAGATGAGAAAGCAAAGGGAAATAAGAGGTACAGACTTCCAGTTATAAAATAAATAAGTTACAGGGATGTAGTGTACAGCACAGGGAATATAGTCAATGATGTGACAGTAACTTTGTATGGTGACAGGGGATTACTAGACTTACTGTGATTATCACTTAGTAAGGTATATAAATGTAGAGTCACTATATTGTTCCCTTCAAACTAATATAATATTGCATGTCAACTATACTTCAGTTACAAAAAAGTTTTGATGAGCTGAGAAAATGTAAAAGCAATTTTAGGGTTTATTGGTTTGCAAATAATTCTAATGTTCAGAAACTCAACTATTGAATAAATTTTTGGACTCACTTTCTCTGTCTACAAAATAAGTATATATGAATCATCAGTATTATTGATTGTTACATTTATGTTTTTTGAAATAAATGCATTTTCAGTAAAATATTGAGAGCAAAATATTATATGGTAAGTATTTTAGACAGCTTCATGACTTTAAATAATTCATTTCCCCCTTTGGCCTTTACCTAGTGATATTTCTGGCAAACAGATGAACCTTCTTCTGATGAGGTCCTTGGACACCCTGGAGAACTGCTGCTTTGACAGTGGTCTTGAATACAAGTAGGTTGATCCCCTTTCCTCTCTAACAGATACTGAAAGATGAGTTTTCTCCACCATAAACTTTGTGTTCTATGATGGAATATTTGTCAGACCTGATCTTACATTCATTTGCAAAGAACTTTCAGTAATAATTAAAAATCTGTAATTAACGTTTACTTTTTCTGAAAAGAGTATTTCAGCAAGAGAAAACTTGCTTTACTACGAAGCAACAAATGTCATTTTATGACTGTCATTAAGTTCTGTCTTGGAAATGTCATATTAAGCATATATTTGGAGGCTGTGTGCACAAGTTAGCCTTTTTAAAGAAACTATTTTTTTTTATTTGATTGGGCTAAGAGAGTTTTTGACCCATGATTTAGATTTCCCTGTGAAATCCAGTAGCTGAGGAGTCACACTGAAAACAAATACAGTTTACACCAGGGTTCCCTAACCTCCTCCATGTTAATAAATCTTTTTTTGCCCCCCCAAATTCATAAATTTTTAACATTTTTTTCCATGAAATGAAATACATATTTTAAAATTTAATTCATTTTCTCATTATCATCATGAAAGATAAAACAAAAAGGAATGATCAAGAAAAAATACCTCAAAAACAGTGTTAAACATACTCATTTAGTGAGACATTTAGTGTTTCAATTAGTCTGTGAGACTTGTGTGGGAAAATATATGGTTTTATCAGGCTCTCTGAAATATTGATACCATTGAGGACTAATTATACTTTTTTGGACCTCACATGTTTGGGAACCTCAGGTTTGGATCATCTGGGATTTGTGGTTACTTGGAAACTTAATAGATTATAAGCACTCACTTCCAATTTACAAACTTCACTTTTTTGCTATTATGGGCATTGTTTAAATAGGATTTAATTCAGAGTTCACATTTCTGATCTTTAGGAACTTAGGATCTGAAGTTACATTTATACCTTCAAGCCTGTTTGTTCAGGCTAACAAAAGACTAAGTGGTAGAAGTAGCTTCATGTGTCAAGTGTTTCATCATGAACAAGCAAAACCAAATCTTCACGTAGTAGGTAGTCATGACAGGTTCTTCCAGATGCAGGCTGAGATTGGATAAGAACCATTGACACCTTCCCTGTTTATCACAAAGCACTTTAGAGATGGCATGCTGTGTTTAGAGTGTGGTTTTGATTATGGGGAAAGAGAGGTCAGTGGCATGATTGAAGTTTCTTGAATATAGAAAATTATTAATAGAATGTATAGAGCCATTTAACTGTTACTGGGTCTGATGAAAAGTTGAGATTTTAGGCCTAAGCCCTGACGTTGCCTTTTACAACCAAGGAGTAAGATGGGTTCTCTCTCTCTCTCTCTCCCTTCCTTCCTTACTCTGTTTTCCTGCCTTCTTTCCAAAGGTGTTCATCATACCTTAGCTCAAGTATTATAAAGTTGGGGGGGAATTTGGTGATTAACATGCTCCAAACTTTCAGCCAATTGAGACAATCAAGAATGATTTTCATGCATTGAGTTGGCCAAAAACTTCATTTGGGTTTCTTTTTGTAAGATGACTCTAGTAGCACTTTACCTTCATTAGAAACTATTTTGTTAGATTGTATTGTGACAGCTGTCATATCAGTGTGCATTTTTTAAAAACTTATCAAAATCAGTGAATTTTTCTGTAGCCTTTTTAATATTGAAGGTAGAAGAAAATATGTAACTTTTGGCATATTATGCTTTATTATTTCAAGAAAGGTAAAAATGTAACTGAAATGCAAAAAATATATATTTGTGCAGTGTATAGAGAAGTTTTGTGACTGATTGAATGTGTCAAAAGTAGTTTGTGAAGGAATTTCATGCTGGAGTTTTCTCGCTAGATGATGCTCCACAGTCAGGTAGACCAGTTGAAGTCAGTAGCAATCAAATTGAGACATCAATTGAGAACAATCAATGTTATACTATGCAGGAGATAGCCGACATATTCAAAATATCCAAATCAACAAAGTTACTGGTGAAAATTAAAAGTGTGTTTTATTTTATGGAAAAAACTAAATGGACTTTTTCGTCAACCAGTATTATCTTCATTAGTTTGTAGCTCGGTCTTTTGAATGTAAGGAGGACCATGGGGGTAGCTGAATTATCCACAGTATAGTTATTTATGCATGTAGTAACTAAATATGTCTAAGCATATTTAACTTTAAAATGAACTTTTCAAAATAATAAGATTCTTATTTCTTGATTCTTACCTTCCTTCCTTATTCTTACCTTCTTAATGAATAGCTGTGTTTGCGAGAGGGATGGGTGGGCCTATAGATAGGGGACTGATCCCACAAAGTCAGGTAGAAATTTCCTGTCCACTTTGTAAACTCTGGCTTGTTTTTCAATGCCCAATTAAAAGCTCAGTTCCTTCAAGAAACCCTCCCCCATCTTCTGAAAACTCCTGTTATTCCTACAGTTAGTGATGTTTATTATTTTGCCATTTCTAATGCTTTGTGGGTAGCAGTGCTTATTTGTTCCCTCTTTGGTTTGAGGTCCAATTAATAGTTACTGAGTAGCCACAAATTGTGCTAAGCATTTTCACATTCATTTCTCATGTAATTAAGCCCTGATTACAACCTAAATGTTGATACCAAAGCGGGCATCATTGTCATTTTGGTTTACTGATAAAAAAAAGTCTCAAATAGGAGACTCATTCAAGGTCACTCAATAAGTGACAGCTCAGAGAGAAGAGAAAGCCTAGGTTGTCTGACTTCAAAGCCATTTTTCTCTTAAATAATACAGCACTGAGAACATTTCAACAGAAAGAAAGCTCGAATATTACAATAAAAAGGAATGAAATCTTGCCATTTGCAACAACATGGGTGGACCTACAGAGTGTTATGCTAAGTGAAATAAATCAAAGACAAATACCATATGATCTCACTTATATAGAGAGTCTAAAAAACAACTGAATAAACAAAACAAAACAGAAACAGACCCATAGATATACAGAACAAGCTGATGGTTGCCAAAGGGGAAGGGGGTAGGAAAAATGAGTGAAATAAAATAAATAAACATTTTTTAAAATCAGAAAAAGTATATAAAGCAATTTGGCCCTTGACAATGTGGAGATTATTATTTTTCTCTGACATGTGGGTCTTGTTTGCCATTAAAAAAAAAAGTGTCTAAGTAGTCTCAGGCCTGGCTCATGGCATGAAGTATTCCTCTGTCTAATGAGATTGCAAGAATCTATGGCAGTCCTCCCTCACGTGAAATAGTGGAAGCGTTATCAGGAGGTAGTTAATAGATCTGGGAGCATGCTATCTCAGGTGATAGACTTCACTCAGAGCAAACTCACCATGCTTCCTTGATTTAATGGACCTGTCCCTGCTGAAAGAACCAAGCACCTGGGCTAGTTAGTAGGTATTTGTGCTCCTATCACTTACATTTTGCTGCCATCTAGTGGTACTTGTGTCATTGCACTCCTTCACAACCCTAACTAGTCATGCTATCCGCCTGAGAGCATTAGTTAATTGCTATTGAACTTTCACAAATACGATAATGTTTGTATAGCACTTTGTAAAGGGCAAAGTGCTATACGAATGGTAACTGTTATTAGAACTAATTATTAGATGGCCCAGTACTTAATCTGCAGGATAGCCTACAGTAAACTAGGGAACTGAAGATTTATCTGTGGTTTTTAGAAAAATTAGGTTAATTTTAGAAAAATATAGTGTTATATCTCTGTTGGTATAGCAACACATTGGAATTGCATAGATTTTAAGTTGCAGAATTTTTTTTGGTAGAGATATTTTAATATACTTGGATAAGACATTCAGATACGTAATGACATAATAGGGCATATAATTTTAAAACGTAATTTTTCTTTATCATTTATTAGTATTCTTATAGAAGACTTACATTAGCCATTCCAAAACCTCAATTTTATACATAACTTGTTTTTATCTCATATGTTTGACACACCAGCACTTAACTGCTTGTTGTTTTCAATGAACAGGAAGATGTAATAGCCACCTCTGCCCAAGTCAGCCCTGATTTAGAACTGGCAGATACTGCAAAGGGAAGCTAGCTTAGAATCAATGTGTAGCAGTGTTGAACTAAGCACTTGGGGGAATCTTTAAGACTCAGGACAGAAAATAAACACATTAAAATACAGAAGATTTGGAAATCAGGAGGAAACATCAGAAATAAAATTTAGAACTACGTACTTGGTGCATGCTGGAAAAATGAAACAAAATAGAAGGAAACAATTTAGTGGATCAGTAGGTGCATGCACTCTAACATTTATATTGGCACACACATATGCAGTTAGATTATGTACTTGTATATTACAACAGTTAAATAACTACCATTATAGCAATGAATGGAATTGTTAGTGAATGGTAACCTTACCTAAGACTAATTATGCTGTGATAATAATTTAGGTAAATGTGAACTACAAAACTGGGATTGAAGCCTTTGTATCCATATGCCTAGAGATGGTGAAAAGTAGCTTCAGTCCAAGGAATAGAGATTTTTCTATAACCAGAATAATACAAGGAACAAGATTTAAATAACTGCCTATTTATTGAGAAAGATGAACCCCAGAACTTAAACAAGCTTTGGAAGGAATCCTTTTTATTGATGAACCTAACACCCTTTTTTCTTAAATCAGTCTGGCAGGAAATATAAATCAGGTTTTCTTGATTGAATCTTGCATGATAGAATCATTGAAATTTTCAACTCCAATTTTGCCTCCAACTAAACAAAAGAATCAAATCTTCGTTTTCTTTTTTATTGTTGTTTTTCTTTAAGAAGTGCTTCTCCTCACTTTAGACTCCTTGAATCTCTTCAATTGGTCACTTGTTCAGCATTCAGTAGGTATTCACAGGATGCCTGTCCCCATCCAGCAGCATCCTGGGTGCCACAGGCATTGTGGTGAGGAGGAAACAGAAAGAGCATCCACCCTCATGTAGCTCGCAGGCTCATGAATGGGGTGGGTGGTAATTAAACACTACCCCAAATAATCCTCATCAGAGTTTATAATTAAAATTGTCTGAAGTAAATTAGTACAGGGTGCTGTGGGAGAATAGTAAAGAGGTTCCCTGCTGGGCTGGGGAAGGTGTCCCTGAGGAAGTCACATTTGAAATCTTAAGCATAAGTAGCAACTTAATAGTCAAAGAGGGAACAAAAGTCAAATTTTTCAGAGTATTAACCACATTTTGTCTAACTATATCTTTGGTATAATTCTATCAAAATTTTTTATGCATCAGTATAGACAGATAACCAGAAAAACTTCCTTTAGATTCTATATGAAAAGAAAGACTTGAATCCATACTGATGAAGAGCAGCCTCTCTTTCAGATATGTGCTTTGTCTCAACAGCATGCAGTGTTCAGATGTTCGATGCCGATGTAACTGGTTGGAAATGCATTATGCTAGTTGAGCTTCTTGTTAAGTTCATGCTCGCTATAATAGCATTTCTGCCTGACTAATGATGGATCGTTACTGCAGTAGCTTCCTTACAAAGGATTTTCTAATGCCAGACTGTTATGCAATAGAGCCTAGAAAAACACTTGAGCTATATTGCCTTCTCATAGGCATTCCATCACGGCAACATGCGGGGCACCAGAGGGGCCTGCGGTTTGGCAGATGGAACAGAAGGCTGGGAATTACAAAAAAAAAAAAATCTTCTGGTCGTGCTCTGCTGGAAATGCTCTGCGTGACCTTGAGGAAATCCTGTAGCATCCCTATCCTTTAGGTGTCTCTTATCAGATGTGGATGCTCTGTTTGCACAGAGGTGTTGGGGGAAATAACTAACATGTTCATGAAACAATGCAAAGGTGATGCCAGCCAAGGAGAGAGATGCTATATAAGAGCAAAATAACATAACATACAGGCATCGAAATACGTTATTGGAGAAATGCCCTGGAATGTGTTCTTAAGCAGCAGCTAGCATGAGAAGCAAGCCAAGCCAGAGCGAGGATGATTCCTGAAAACCTCAACATTCCCTGAATTTGAAAAACATCAATGATGACAAAAAAACTTTTTTAAGAAATAAATTACATCAAAGCTCTATTATCTTATACTAACTAGAAGTTTTCTGAGAGAACAATTCATTTCTTTAAATGGATATGCATTCTTTCAGAAGAACAGAGGCACAAAGTCCAAGATCCCAATTGAATCATCACGTGGGGTAACTTTTGACAAATCTGTCATCTGTCCATTTTCTTTTCTGACCCATTGGTACTTTGAGGGATCAGAGGGGAGAACAGGATTAATGTCATTTAAGAAAGAAATTCAACTTGTTGAAGCTCACTAGGAAACATGAAACACTTAGCAGGATCTCATAATCATGTGTTACATTTTTGTATCCACCTTGTTATTAGTCAGATGTCCTCAGCTCATATCCTTAAATTTAGGCTTTTCTCTCCTTACATAATTAATCATTCAATGTGGGGGTGGGGACTGGAGAGAGGACCACAGATTTTCTCTGGGTGCAGAGAGAGAGCTGTTTTCACTACAGTTTATGCCTCCTCCTCTCCCCACCATAGAGTTTTAAGTCCAACTATTTCATGTTTTTACTTGTTTGTTGTTCCCCAGTGGATACACAGCACTAGCGTGGGCCATCTGTTTTGTTACAAAGGTTTCCTTTTGAGGGTGGAGGTGGTATACTTGTGGTGTTTCACGGACATGCTTACTTAGCAAGCAGCAGAATTAGAATCCAGCCATCTCACCTCAGGCTGCAGGGCACTGTAAACTCCCAGGAAGAATGAAGGATGATGGCGTGGGTTTCTGTGATTGTTGACCCTCATCTTTTTTTGGCATCCAAGCACAGGCTGTGTCCTGGGAGTTGGACTTGTTTTGTCCCTCATGAGCCACAGCAGCCACACGGAGTCGCGAGTTCATGTGGCAGCGTCGCTTCGCAAACTCTCTGCGTACCTCGATGGCAGCGGGAGCCAGAGCAGGACGTTTCAGGAGGTGGGCGACGAGGTTGCAGTCTTCTTCCCTTTTCTGGCTTTTGTTTTCTTCTTGTTGCTCATTCTTTACTTCCTATATTTTGGTGACTCTGAAATTAAATTCTTCTTCAATTTCAACTGGGATAAGGAGAAAATCTGAGCAGCAAACAACCTATACTAGATCATAAGGTTTTCAAATTGTGCAGCTGTTTAAATCAACTTTGAGTTAAATGTGGCATGTAAGATAAGAGCCTTGAGTGAATACAAAAACCTTAGTCAGCATCACTAGAAGGCAATTTCTAAGAAGAGCTGCAATTTCTGGAAGAAGGTTAAATGGAGAGTTTTATAATTATGCCCTAGCCTATGTAACTTTAAAAGATGGCCAGGAAAAAGCTTAAGAAACTGCGGATCGAAAAGGCATGGTTTTTTTAATGTCAGCTAGCATGAAAAATTATTAAGGGAATTCCCTTTACCACATTAAATGAAGAGCTTTTTCTATTATGTTACAAAAATATGCATAATTGCAGTTCATGTGACAGTCTCTGAGAGTTGACCGTGTCTGGAGGGAACACGGGAGGCGTGTGTGTCTGCTGTGCCCAGGTGAAGCCGGACCGCCTGTGCTCTTCTGTGGGAGGAGCTGAGACGACCTATTGGCCTGGCCAGACTCTCCCTCTCATTAGAGCCGATTCTATTTTATCTGGGCCTGCCCACGAGCTATTGATGAGTATATAATGGCTCCTGTGTTTCCTTGCTTTGCTACTCTGCTTTCAGACATGGGACTTGTCAAATTGGTGAATTTCTTGAGGGCACAGTTTTGTTCTAAGACATGCACCACGTTTTCATTTTTTAAGCAGAGCATAATTTAAAAGTACACTTTTTTAAGCAAAAGGAAAAAAATTGCAACCAAGGAGCAATTTGGTTAATAAATAAAAGCAAGGTTTTTATAATTGAGGCATTTGACTGTTCAATGTTTGATTTATAAGGCCTTGGACAAACATTTTGTTTTCTCTCATGTTTTATTATTCAATTTCTAACTTAGAAATTGCTTTTTTCCATGCTGTATAAACGAGTGTTAGGAGGTGAACATTTCTACTTTGTCTTAAGAGTATCTTTGTAAGTGAGGGTCGCATCATGAAAATTCAAGATAGCAGGGAAGGGTAGTTAACTTTAATTTGCAAATTCGAGGCTCAAATAGATTGTTTGACTTGCCTGATGTTACTTAGCCAGTAAATGGTGAATTTGGAACATGCACCTGAGTACTCTGTCTCTATTCCCAGCATTTTTATTTGTGATTTGTTCATTTAGTCATTTACTTATTTATTCATTTACTTACTAAATTCTCCTACAGTGCTGTGAAGTAAGTAGTACTATCTCTAGTTTGCACAATTTGTCTAACTCTAAGACCCACGGCTGTGGCCCTGTGCGCTCCACTGTGGAACCCTGAAGCAGCAGCATCCCCATTTCCCCTGCGGCGTGGCCTCAGATTGGAAGCATGTGTCAATCAGTAACATCCACTGTGACAAGCATCTGCTTCTGCTGTTTGTGGATGGTGCGTTCTGAGTTGGTGAGGGAATTTTTTTGGTATAGAGTCTCAGGACCTGATTTGAATGTCAGCTCTGTCACTTGCTAACTCTGTGTAATTGAGCTTCAGTGTCTTTATCTATAAAGTAGGAATAATGACTCCCATCTCATGACATTGGTGGGAAATATGAGATGGGCAGCAAAATAATGGCCAGTTCGCGGTAGGTTTATTTGAATTCGATTCTTATCCCAGGGAGAAGTTTGACCAAATATTTGTGTCAACTAAACCTTGTTCTTTTATTTTCCCTCATGAAGAAATTTTTTCCTGCTGTCTTTTCTTCTCAGGTCCTTGCTTATACCCTTAGCTGTGTGTGCACATCAGCATTCAGCACTGGAATCATTGAAGCTGCAGAGGCTGAAGACATTATGAATAAGCTTCGACTGTTAGTAGAGAACAACCAGCAGGTTGGAATGCATGCCCTGAGTATTTCTCTCTTTGGGTGTCATGCTGCTGCTAGGCCCTAATTTTTACTTACACTGATTAGAGTATAGTGGGATATTTTTCATACCCAGAACTCAGGAACATCTAACCTGTCCCCTGTCTCATGGCAAGAGCCAACAATCACAGGTGCCTTTTTCTCTCTTCATCCCCTATGTCTGAGAGAAGACAGGCTTTTCAATATGAATACATAGAGGGTTCTGATAAGGTCAACCCTTCGCAGATTCAAGGCAAAGAATCTCTACTCATGACTGAATAGGTATAGGTAAACTTAAATATCTATAAATTAAATATTTAAATATTGCCTTAAATATTGCCTCTGAAATATTATTCAGCTTTAAAAAGGAAGGAAATCCTATCCTACATCAGGGCTGAACCTTGAGGACATTATGCTAAGTGAAACAAGCAATCAGAAAAAAACATATACTATATGAGTGTATTTCTATGAGGTAACAAGAGTAGTCAAATTCATAGAGGCAGAAAGTAGAACGGTGGTTGCCAGGGGCTGGAGGAGTGGGAATGGTGAGTTGCTGTTTAATGGATGCAAAGTGTGTTTTGCAAAATGAAAAGATTTCTGGAGATGGAGGTGGTGTGGTTGCACAACAGTATGAGTATACTTAATACTCCTGAACTGCACAGTTAAAAATGATTAAGATGGTAAACTTTATGTTGCATATATTTTACCACAGTTTTACAAATTGAAAAATAAATGTTTTGTCTGATTACACATACTCTAGATTTCCCCATTGATGGTGGTGGTGGTTTTATTTTTTTTAAAGGTTTCTCTAAACTCTTAATATTGGCCATGGGGAGTTATTTCAGAATTCACTGGTTTTAAGCTTACTTGCACTGTTGTTGCTACTTTATGATTATATGCCTGATCACTTACAGTAGGTCTTGCAACACCAAAATGTAGAAGTTCACATATGCGGTGCTTGGTGTGAGACATTTTCTCTACTTGTTCAGGAGTTGATTGAGCTGTGCAGTCTACTTTGGTATTTTCATCCCAACCCCTTCTGAGAATGTGGATCATATGAGCCAAGTTGCTCAATAGTGCAGTATTATTTTCCTCAAATACATCACTCACTGCAGCTTAATCTCTCACAGTTAGACTGTAGCTTCTCTTGCAAACCAAAGTCCAGATTTTAAAAATATGCCAATCTCTGATTTTTGGATGGCAAAAAAACTTGTCGGCAGGAAAGGGAGCCCCTAGAAGGGCTTGTGCTGCTGTGTGTAAGCATTCCTGATCTGTGCCATTCTTCTTCTTTCTTCTTACCCTGTGTTTTTATTTATTTATGACAGACTTCAGGTTTTGCCTTGGCGTTAGGAAACATCGTTCATGGTCTGTCTGTGTGTGGACATGGCAAAGCTGAAGACTTGGGCAACAAACTGCTCCCTGCCTGGATCAGAACTGTGCTAGCAGAGGTAGAGGCCACCTCTTGCATATTGTTTTATTTTTTTATAAAGGAAAAGGGGCTACTTAACTGGATGATCTAAAGGTACTGCTCGGGTATATAGCTTCACAATAAAAAAATAGACAATTTTAAAGGAAGGAGAAACATGTACTTTCCAGCCCTTATGTATGATACATCCTGTCAACTATGATAGTTTTTTTCTTGAACTGGTTATTTGGTCAGTGTTTTAATTTAAAACAACATTGTGGTTTTGAAAAATAAAAAAACAAGAAGAAGCCACCTATGATCTAATAACTTTAACATGTTGATTTAAGTCTAAGGCCATTTTTGGTTCAGGTTTGAAACAGGTTATGCTGACCCTACAAATTTAGCACCATCTTGACCACTTATGTCTCCATGATGCACTAAGTCATAGAATTGAGTCCCAGGGACTATTTCCCTTTTGACTTATTTTTTGTTTTCAGGGCTCATCCACGATGCTTTGTTTGGCAGCTCTTCATGGCATGGTGGCCTTGGTAGGCTCTGAAGGGGATGTAATGCAGGTAAAAAAAGAAAAGAAGGAAAAAAGAAATCTAAGTGTGTACATAGCCACAGCAAGAGCAGAACACCTAATATCTCGGCATGCTAAGGACAGAAGAACATGTGCTCATGGAAATGGTCATACTGAGCTTTGCAGGGACTTAATGTGTGGAAAATTATTCTTTGCTGACAATTCTTTGTGTAGAGATTCTTTCCTTATTTTATTTGGTTTGTAGGGATTAAACCTAGTCAACTTCAGTACTTTCCACAAAGTTCCCTGCCTGAGAAAAGTGATTGAATCATAAGAAATTTCAGAAGTCATTCATAAGAAACTACATTTTGCATCTGTAACATTTAAGTCAGTATCCAAGAAATTTTTTTCACTTTAAAATGCTTTTTGTGGTGGACACATATATGCATAAGCTTATAAGTAATTCTAAGGAGTTCCTTTGTTTATACAGTAAAGGTTTCTTAAGTGACGGCTACAGGCCACCCAACTGAAACCAATGATAGATAAAGCATGGGTCCTGCTCTCAGGGGGCTCACAGTCTCTGTTTTTGAAGTGTAAGGACATAATGATAGATTGGTCTGTAGTTTAGAAGGTGATAGCTCATACTGGGAATATCATTATTTACTTTCTGGGGGATGTCAGAGTGGATATTCTTGTGTTTCTTTCAGCTGAAGTCAGAAGCCATCCAGAGCTCGCAGTTTCAAGCCAGGCTTAATGAAGTCATTAGAACCTTAACACAGGTGAGAAGAGGAATTTATTGGATAAAACCCTTCAGTGGGAAAGCAAATTCTCCCCCTCTGTCTTTTCTCTTTCACGATACAAGCTTTTTTACTTAGAAAATGAGGAAATCTTGGGTTATTGGTGGTGAATTTAACAGGCATTTGAAAGTGGTTTATGCCCCTACATTTGCTGACAGACGTGCACTGCCTCTGGAAAAAAAGAAAGCTGGCATTTTGAGTTGACTTAAGTTGACATTAGTTTCCCTTAAAAACTGAAACCCAGCACTGCAAGGAATTCCGGGCCCCGAGGACACAGAGAAACGACGGTGCTCAGAGGGCAGGGCGGACTCTGAGTTGCACGATCAGGTGGTGCTGGTCCAGGTGTCATGGGCAAAAGCACTTGAGTAAATCATTGTCAGCGTTATCCTTGGCTGAAGAATAAACATATTTAGGTGCTGAGAAATGGTTTTATAGCTTAACATCTTTACTTTTAAAAACAAGTACTGTGTTCATTGCATAAAATTTGAAGGTACAGATAGAATGGAAGAAGCTAGAAACGTACCGCTGTGGGCCCTCCCAGTGCAAAGCGGCTGTGGCTAACATTGGGTCATATGCTTTTTGAGTATTCTCATGTTCTTTGCATAGTTGGTATTCTTACCACATAGAGAACTTTGTCATCTTTTCACTTAGCATACTTGTTTTCTTCTTATAAAATGTAGCTGGTTATAACACCTGAAGAAGTTTTAGTAATTCATGCTTTTAAAGGAAAACAGTTAAATTAATGCTTTTAATTTCTGAACAGAAGAAACTATCTCTTTCATATATGGATATGAATATTCTCAAAAAAAGAAATCTACTTAAACTTAAGTTCTTTAACTTGGGAGAAAAAATATATTTTAAACTATTGTAAAAATGCTTATATGGATGATCAAATATAATAGAACATTATTTAAGGAAGAGAGCAAAATAATACCTCCGTATATTTTTTAGGGGTATTTTAATCCTAAGAAACTATCACCTCTTTTTACCTTTTGGATTTGCTTCTCCAGTTTTTGAATATCCTTTGAGACCAATCTGTCTCAGTGATACCTAACACAGTCACTAATATGCTCTTCTGTCACCATTTGATTGATTGATTGATTGATTCAATAACCCTTGTTAATCACCTATATGTTCCTGATTTAGTACACTAGACATAGACCTTCTCATTACCAGACAAGCCACCATCTCATAAAAAATTAGTGACTTTCTGTGAATGACCTTTTATTGAATGGAGTTTAGATTGTGAGCCATCACTGAACTGTTACATTTTCATCCATAGGTCATCAGTGTGTCTGGGGTGATTGGTCTTCAGTCCAATGCAATCTGGCTTCTAGGACATCTTCACCTATCTACTCTGTCCTCAAGTCAAAGTAGAACCTCTGGTAAGATTAAAGCCGTAGGACACTGGATATGAAAGCAGGGATTGCTGGAGTGGGGCTATGTACTCTGTTAAGAGCATTCATCTCCACAACAACCCTCAGTGATGGGTATGGGTATTCCCATCACTGTTTTACATCAGAGAAAATGGGCCGTGGAAAGGCTTCCTGACCTACCCAGGGTCACATGGCAGTTAGTGGTGGACAGTAGTTAAACTCAGATCTGTTAGCCTCCAAAGCTCATGCTCTTTTCACTCTTCCTTTCTACTCCCTCAGAGAACAATTTAGAAATTACATCTGACCCCATATGTTACAGCTGAAGAACTTGAAGCTCAGAAACACTGCATAACTTATATACAGAGTTAGTTTAATGACAAATCCAGAAAAAAGGAGCGAGGTCCTTAAAGCTTTGAGCAGAGTTCGTTTTACTTTACTAGATGTAATAATCAAGGTTGGTGTACCACTTGTATTTCATTAAAAATCTCTTCATGTATGGCCAGAGTTCTTCTGGCTTCTCCTCTTGAGGAAATAATGGGGTAAGTACATTTAAAGTTGTGCATCTTGTTGGCTGAAACTGAAATCCTAGGTCTTAATATAATAAGACTTTTTCTATTTCCAGTTTTTTTATAACAAGCAATAAGAAATATTTGCAATTTCTATATGCTTAATTTATGTTTGCACTTAAAAATTTTTGGGGAGGCATCACTGTAATGTAGTGGGATCTGTATCTGCTCCTTGTTCTTTATAGAACTTTGACCCATTGGCTCTCTTGGACCCAGGCCAGAGGGGTTTAGGTGCCAAAGATTCCTCATTAAAACCTAGGTTCACATATCCCCTGACAGGTAGTCTGTGGACAGCATTACCATGAACATGGGCCCCTGTAATTACTGTCTCCCTTACTTTCAGTCACTCCTTAGCTGCAAAAATAGGACATTATTCCACAGCATTCCCAACATAATGAACTTTGGATAGCTGGAAGCTGTCGTATTAAAATGGGGAGAGAAAAAACTTAGTCATCAGAGGAAACCCTTAGTAATGCGAGTCTGGAAGGGCAGTGCTCCCACAGTGTCCTGGTAGAATAGCACGTTTATGTCAGGCTTTTGCTTTTTTACATAGGCTTTTAAATGTTCTGGGCTACATGGCCTGGCCCACATATGCTCATCCTCAAGTCAGATCACAGTGAATCATCCTACACTCAGGTTCTCTGGAACAAATGATTGTATGTCTGGAAAAGTACAGCTACTTGTTTCTGATGGAATTTTCCAATTGAGCCATTTATTGCAGTAAAAACCATCTCATGCAACAATTATGGGGGACTGGGAGGGAATGAATCTAGGAAACTCCCCGGACTCAATGAACATAAATGTCACCGCCTCACTGTTCCAGGTCAGCAACATCTGGTTATTTGTACATGTTGGTCACTTAGAGGTCCCTGCTGTATGAAGTAAGAGACTGGTTGCTATTAATACTGATCATTATATTTCATGGTTCGTATATCTGATTCAGGATGTGTTGAAGTGGCTCCCAGAATGGTGGTCTCAGCCTGGAAGCCCAGCAACCTTGATGACACTAAGGAGGTCACAGGATTGGGGCACATTGATGTGACAGAATGGAAAGGATTTTTTTAACCACTTCAGTAAGATTTTCCTCCCCTGTGGTTTCCAGCTTCTACTAGGTTTACTGCCATTTTTAAATAGCTTACATAGCCTCAGTGATTACTTCAAGGCCAGTCACTTTAATCTAATAGAATTAGTTTCAGCCACAGAGTATTGTGCTGAGATTAATGGCATGAACATCTCTGGTTTGTCTCTAGGTTGATATGGCAGCATGAGATCATTATCTTCCCTTCATTAGTGCCGCCAAGTTCATTGGTTAATTTGATCATTTTCTGTCTCCACAGTTCCTACTGACTATAGCTATTTGCCTGAAAGCAGTTTTATTAGAGCAGCCATTGGCTTCTTCATTACGGGAGGAAAAAAAGGCAAGTAAACACATTTCTTACATTTTATCATATTTTTCTACATATTAAGTTTGTGTGCCTGAGCATGCTTCTGTGTAATTAAACGACACAAATCTGAAGGGGTGAATATTTTCTTCTTCTAGAGCATCTTTGCAATAGAGGTAGTCAGGATCCCAGCTACAAAAGGTGGTACATGAAGCATACACACTGTGTAGTCTCTTGGAATCACTATATCTGACTTTGGGGGGCTCTGTGAAGACCTTCATCTTCCACTTGGTTATTTCAAAAGTATAAGCACACGTTACTTTTCTTGTCAGTTTCAAGTGAGTGTGACCTAGAAAGAGAAAACAGACCTAGGTGCAGTTTGTATTTCAGGGCCTGACTTGGAAGTAGGCCTTCACCCTGAACCTCGTATGATCACCCTGTGCTGTTGGAATCACTGGCTCTGGGATTTATTTTTAGCTTATGTTTTTTTTTCTCTGCAAACATTTTTTCCCTTTGTGATTCTTTCTTGCTGTCACCACATTAGAGCACAAGCAATCTGAAGACAGAGATTGAGTGCCTTTTGTTTTAACTGGAGCCAAAATAATGCCATATATGTTATTAAATAAACACTCTTTAATGATATACATGCACTATTCACTGCTGTGAGGAAAAGACGGATTTGAACTGAACACGGCACAGCTCAAGAACCAGTTTCATCCATGTAGTAATCTTTCACTGATATTGGCAAGTTTCGTTCTTCCTTGGGCTGCTTTGGCCAGTCTGGACAAAACCAGTGTCTGTATCACAAGGCCATCCCAACTTTAGGGGAAGTTTTTTCACAAATGAAAATGAAGAAATCTGATTAATGAAGATTGTGGAAGAATAAAATCTTACCATTGAAAGGTATATTAAGTGTCACATTGTCTGATTTCCAACTGGGTATAGTAATCCCTGGAGTTTCCAGATTTTAAACTACTTTCATAGTTTGGAGATGAATTCCTTTAGTTTCTGGAGTTCTAGAAATTGTGCCATTATCCCAGAGTCGTGAGTTAGCCTGGTTTGCTTTTCCGTATCCTTAGTGGAAACTGATATATGGTTATATCATTGTTGCACATAAATATTTATATATAAACATGTCATATATGACACAGAATGAGGAGTTAATTGTTTAAAGTGCCATGCTGCCATATCAACCCAGAGATAATTGTTTAAATATAAATCAAGTATATTTAAAGTAGATATTATAAATAGAAATGTCTTCATTAGTAAGTCATTAAATTTTCACCAAAGGAACATCTAAAATTTCCATGCCTAGAATAATTCTAGGGATACATATTTTTGCTCAATTTTTTGTTAGATTGCTCACTGATATCTTACAAATTTTATTTTTTATTTTAAAAAATATTTATTTTTTAGAGGGAAGGGAAGGGAGGGAGAAGGAGAGGGAGAGAAACATCAATGTTTCACTCATCTGCCGCCTCTCCCACACTCCTAACTGGGGACCTGGCCCACAACCCAGGCATGTGCCTTGACTGGGAATCAAACGACTGACCCTTAGGTTCACAGGCCGACACTCAATCCACCAAGCCACACCAGCCAGAGCTCTTATAAAATTTTTAAATGATGATAATGTAAGGTTATTTCCATGAGAAAAAAAAACCCTAAGGTCAAATGAAAGATAGACTCTTTTCTAGTGAATAAATTATCACTTGGCTTCCTAGATCCATATTTCTTGGCAGAGATGAATTTTCTCTGAATCTTGTGTGAAATTGTTAGTCGCATGTAAATCTGTATGGTTGCTCAGTCATGGCACAACAGGAAATGTTCTTCTGTTAAATGAAAAATCAGGGGACTGGCATCAGTGACGATACGTGTGGTCTTCCCAAGTGCTATTTTAAAACAGATAAATGAAGTATTAAAAATGCCCTATTATCAATCAGATTTTTGGTATTTTCAGGTTGTGGGAGAGGGCTGCCTTCTTGTCAGGTTTGCTGACTAGATTCAGAGGAAAATCTATTCAGCCTTACACATTACTAATGATGACCCCAGAGGAGTGGGGGCCGTGGGAGGCTGACCTCAGTCTCCCAGGCCCATTTACAAAAACAAAACCAGACCCTGCTCTATGGGGCTAAATGGGATGACCAAATGCGGAGGTGTGCATGCAAAGGAGTGTTTTCTTCTTCACTATGTCCAGCTCATTTGAATTTTAATAACTCCCTTCTGAAGCAGCTTTTGAGTTTAAATGTCTGGATGTCATTCACCAGAGCCCAGTGGAGCCGCTGATAGGAAGGATGACAACTTTGGTGAGCTCTTTTGAGGAAGAAATGCCTTTCGAGGATAAAAATCAAGCTTGGCATAGGCAGAAGAGAGCAAACTTTAGGGAGAGCTTGGCTTCATTGCCTCTGTGTACCATTTAATAACTCATCAGAGGAAGGACAATGGATTGAGTTATCCCTTTGCCACACTTATGCCAGGAGATTGGGCATCACAATCTCAGTTTAGGCAATCAAATTTGAGATGGTGAAAATATTCATCTGCTCTCTGATGCTGAGAGTTTTTCTCATGTGACAGAATATACAAGATGTTCATGGAATCATACATGTTCATAGCAGGCCTACATTTTCAAACCACAACTAATAGGTGAAATCCCATCCAGTTATTAAAGACTTCAGTTAATACTTTTGAATATCATTGTTGTTTTTTTTTTCTATACCCTGTAACCACTCTCTTTTCTTTCCTCATAGCCCTGGCCTTCCAAGCAGATGTATTATTCCTTAACCTTTGTCATTGTCTATTCCTATGGACATTTCTTGACTATGCTAGGCTTAAAATTTGCTGATCACTGAATTCTTTGTATCATGGAATTGTTTGTCCCCTTAAGGGCCTGTGAACTTTGACTTATTTTTGCTTTTCTAATCATTTATCTTTTTTCTGACTTCTGATCTTTGCTTTTTTTTCAACCTCATAGAATATTCAGATTTCAAGATTTTATTTACTTTTTTATAAAGCACTTAAAATGTATTAAAAATTCTTAATGAAGTAATCATTTATTTTTTGGTGCTAACATTAGGTATTTGTATCCAACAATTTAGGATTATTTTTCTTATCATTCTGTTGCTAGGGCATGAGACTAATTTTCTAAGCTTCTATTTTTCTGTTAGACTTTGAAGTTAACAGTAAGAAGTATTATTTGAGGGAAATATATCTAAATCCTTATAAGAAAGTCATTATGAATAGAATTTTTTTGTTGATATGAATTCATTGGTCAGTGATCTGTATGTATAAGTATTGGGCTTATATATAAACTATAAATTGGTATATTCTCAATCATTTTGGACTGTTAATATGAGATATAATTGTTGACCAGTCTAGCCAAAGAAGCACAGTTAGTGAACTCTATAAAATAAATGATATGAGAAAGTTGTCCTATTTTTTCTGATGAAATTGTGGGCTCAGTTGCCAAGATTGTTACTTTAAAGTATTTTAATTTAGTAATAATTATCCTATACAATTCTGTTTAAAAGGTTATTAAAAATGGATACATGTGTATAAATAACACTAAGTTATTTAATGGTATAAAGAAGAAAAAAGAATCCCCTACAATCTTATCACCTGCAAGCCACAGTAGATGTTCCAGCATATGTCCTTCCAGATGTGTGTCTTATATTATCTTAAATCATAAGATTTATATTACTTTGTTATCTGCTTTTGACAAATTTAACAACTCCCCATGTATATGGACATACTTACCAACAAACTCCTCCAAAGGGAGGCTTGGAGAAAAGTATGGAAAGAATCCTTGCATCACTTTCTAGATGTTTGTTAATGGGTATGTTTTGGGAGTGTTTGATTTCTGTTTTTGTTGTAAACACCATGAAAGTATATAGAAGCAAAAAATGTCACCAGTTTTTATCCCTGTGACTCTCTAACAGCATCTATTGTTTTTGAATTTTACTTTTTAATTTGCTTTTATGTACTCACAATTTTTACATATTTCACATTATGCTAAGTGAAATAAGCCAGGCAGTGAAAGACAAATACCATATGATCTCACCTTTAACTGGAACCTAAACAACAAAACAAACAAGCAAAATATAACCAAAGACATTGAAATTAAGAACAAACTGACAGTAACCAGAGGGAAGCTGGGAGGGGGTAATGGAGGGAAGGGTGAAGGGTTTACAGGAACAACTATAGAGGACACATGGACAAAACCAAGGTGGGTAGAAACGGGTGAAGGTGTAGATGTCTGGGGTGGTGGGGAGTAGTGGGGGGAAAAGGCAGAAAACTGCACTTGAACAACAATAAAATTCAAAAGTATTTAATAAAAAAAAGAAATGAAAAAAGTGTACATATACTTTGTATTTGTACCTTAGTATTATATTAATATTAACATGTAACTATTTTTCACATATCTCCATAATTAGCCATTTTTAAGTGACTGTAGAATATTCCATCAAGTTAATCAAAATTAACCATTTCCCTATTGGTCATCTAAAATTTTTCTATTATGGAGAACATCTTTATGTAATTCTCTCTCTTGTGCATATAGCTTTCCTTAGGATAACTCTCAGCAATTTTTAATTGGTGACTAAAGGGACGGCATGACCTCCTTCCTCTTCAAAGGGTGGTAGCAGGTTTCAGTACCTCTGCCCTGCATGAGCATGCAAAGCAGTCCATCAGGAAGGTTAAAGCACAGGAGTCAGACTGCCAGGGTTCATGCCCACTTCTGCCACTACTGGCTAAGTACCTTCAGGCAAGCTGCTGAAGTCTTTTATCCTCAATTGCTCCTATAAAGTGGAGAAAATAAATAATGGAATCAACTGTCTTTATAGTTTTGGTAAGGATTATGAGCTTGTGAATTACTTTGTGAAACAGTGCTTAGAAAAGGAAATAAAGATTAAACCCTATCTAGTTACCAAATTACAAAGCAAACCAGCACGTAGATAAACAAATGACTACAGTCAAAACCAGGCAGGTGTAAAAGGATAACTTAAGACTCTAATTTGCATTTTATTGCCAGAAGGAGTAAACAT